TATGTATATAGCATATACTATCCATATAGTACTATACAAGTGTGTGTATGTGTATATATATATTTAAAATGTGTGTACTGATACATCAGTTGATTTTTAAGTTATGTTGTTTTAATTACTATTACTGTATATAAATTATTGTAACTATTATTTTAATATTTTATATAGTACATTTTATGTCCTAAAATTTTACATACAACGTGCATATAGTAATATAGAAGTATATTTAACACTTTATTTTACACTGTCCATGTTAAACAGAAAAAATTGTGATTAATGTACTTAATTTTTTTAATTGATTGACAGCACTAGTTATTTTATATATATATATATATATACAGTACTGTGCAAAAGTCTTAGGCTCGCTAGTATTTTCGCCCCAAAGAAATTGTTTTAAGCCAGTTATTTATATCTTATGCTGTAGTGTTTCAGTGGGAAATATCAGTTTACATTAATTGTAATTAATTGCCATTTTTGCCATTAATTGTAATAATCCAGTTAGATTTTGTATGGTACTACTTGTTTTTTTATAGGCTTCTTTTTCATTTTCAATCGAAAATGCCCAAATAGTGGTAATAGTAAATAATTGGGTAACGCTTCCTTTTACAGTCCTGTTACCCATGTACTTACTATGTACTTATTATAGTAATTATAATTACTGGGTAATAACTAGGTACTAACCCTGAACCTACCCCTAACCCATGTACTTACCTTATATTAGCCAGTACTTTCTAGGTAAGTACACTGTAAGTACACGTAAGTACTGTACAGTAAAAGGAAGCGTTACCAATAATTGTATGCATCTAAACTGGTGTTGTACAGACAGCTGAACTGTGTGTGTGTGTGTGTGTCCCTCAGGTGGAGAAGTCTCTCCAGCGCATCCAGAACGGCCAGAGGAACTCCATGTACACGTCTCAGCAGAGCGTTGAGAATAAGGTGTGTGGCGTCCCGGGCTGGCAGGCTCTTCTGACGGCGGTGGGCTTCAGACTGGACTCGGCTGGAACGGGACTCCCCGCTGCCGTCTTCTTCCCCACCACTGACCCTGGAGACCGCCTTCAGCAGTGCAGCACCACACTGCAGTCCCTGCTGGGTAACACACACCTTCTCTAGCTCACCGCAAGTGTGTGAGGGAAAATAAAGTCCCACTGAAGACAAAAAGGGCGAAAAACAAACAAACTTCACCTTTATTTTAGAACTGTGCAACGATTAATCGCATGTATATATATTCATATTATATATAAATATACTGTATTTAATGTATAAATAACACATTTTTCTTAAATATATACATGCATGTGTGTGTATTTATATATGCAAAATAATGATACACAGTACACACACATATACTGTATTATGTAAACATAAACGCATCTATTAATCGCATCCAAAATAAAAGTTTGTGTTTACATAATATATGTGGGTGCACTGTGTATAATTATTTTGTATATATAAATACACACACACATGCATGTATATATTTAAGATGTATATACTGTATATATATATTCATATATAATTTATATTATACATAAATATAAATATTTTATGTATAAATAGCACATTTTTCTTACATATATACATGCATATGTGTGTATTTATATATACAAAATAATTATACACATATATAAACACAAACTTTTATTTTGGATGTGATTAATCGTTGCACAGCCTTACTTTGTTTCTATTGTGCTTTAGACAATACACATTGTTTCAAGGCAGCATTACAGTGATAAATAGGAAAAAATTGATCAATAATGCAAACAGAATTAAATCCTGCTCTAAAAAAGACAGTGTCTATCTTTGTTTATTATTATTATTTACCTTTATTTTACCAGGAAATAGTCCCATTGAGATTCAGAATCTCTTTTTCAAGGGAGTCCTGGCCAAGACAGCAGAATAATAGTTCCATATTAAAAAGTACATATACAAACATTAACAAAAACAAAACAAACAAGAAAAAAAAGTACATTTTGGCAATTTAACATACTCTCAACATAATCACCAGCCGCTCTCAGTAACAGCACATGTGCATCTAGAACTCAAATAGTCCTTTATCCTCATTTTAAATTGTGTCATTGTCGGTAAACAGTCAAATTTGAGCTGATTTTGCAATTTATACCAGGAAAACGGTGCAAAAACTTTAAAGGCACTTTCACCGAAGACAGTTCGCGTTCGTGGGATTTCATACATGATTTCATGATTTGCCCATATGATCTAAGATTACATTTCCTGGTAGTGACTTTAATAGTCAAAAGAGAGAACAAGTAAGGAGGCAGTTTACAAAGTATGGCCTTAAAAAGAAAAATATACCAGTGCTCCAGCCTGCGATTGTGCAGAGATGGCCAACCAACACTCTCATACAAGCTACAATGATGAGTACGGAAACTGGAATTAGTTACAAATCTTAGTGCTGCGTGATATACTGAATCCAGCATTTTCAAAGAAGTTTTATTTGCATGCATGTATATATAAAATATCACCATAATCCAGCATTGACATAAATGTTGTTTTTAAGTGTTTTTCTCGTACTAAAAGAGATTCTTAGTTTTTTTGTTAGACCCTCTATATGCTGTTTGAAGGACAACTTTTCTTCTAAAAGGAAACCAAGATATTTATAGACTGATACTCGTTCAATTACTTTCTCATCTAGTGTAGCAATTGGACAAGCATCTTCTGTTTTCCTTGATTTAGAAAAGCACATCATTTTAGTTTTATCTGAGTTTAGCACAAGTCTCAATTTCTGTAGATTCTTCTGAATGATTTTAAAAGCAGATTGCAGGTCCTCAATAGCACTTGTCAAGGCTGGAGCAGAACGATACAAAACAGTATCGTCCGCATAAAAATGACACTTTGCATTTGTTACATTTTGACACAAGTCATTTATATAAATAGTCAATAAAATGGGACCCAAAATGGACCCCTTTTGCAATGTTTGCAATGGCCAAACAAGTCAAACTAGGGTTGTGTAAATGTGTAAATTCTCTCTTGTTTGTCATTAGAATAGTTTGAAGTGACTTCTTTGTCCTTCATGTTCACAGGTTTGCCTCCTCCAGCTCTGCAGGCGTTGTGTAAACTGATCACGGCGTCAGAAACCGGAGAACAGCTCATCAACCGGGTGAGACGTCACACCACACATCAGATGCTCTGAAAGCTGTCCTGGCTCGTGCACGCACCTGTAACTACACTGCTGTATTATTGAGATGCTCGTGTCTGCTTTTTAACAATCTTCTTTCCTTCTCTTTTCCTAAACTTTTTCCACTAAAGGCTGTTAAAAATGTAGTGGGAATGGTAAGTGCTTAATTAACTAACTCTACACTAACACACTACTGTGAATGAACTTACCAATGATTTTTTATTGTATATTGGACGTCATTAGACATGGGATTGGTCTCTGTTTTCCCGCAGCTCCATCAGGTTTTGGTGCAGCTTCAGTCTGGAGAGAAGGAGCAGGATTTCTCTCTCGCACCCATTCAGGTGTCCATCAGTGTGCAGCTCTGGAGACTCCCCGGCTGTCACGAGTTCCTGGCCGCTTTGGGTAAGAGAAGATCCAGGACACGAGCACTTTACTCCATGCTGATGATGGGTCTCTCTCTCTCTCTCTCTTTCTCAAAAATCTTGGGTTTTTAGAGGTCCCCATATCTCGCTGCCATACAGAGCAATTGGTTCAATTATTGCTTTGTTGAATAGTATTGTTAAAGGGATAGTTCACTTTGAAATTAATTTTTGGTATGTTTTAGCTTACCTCAAGGGCATCCAAGATGTAGGTGTCTTTGTTTCCGCAGTAGTTTCAATTTTGATATTTTTAGGTCAAACCGTTCTTGTCTGTCAGTCATATAATGCAGGTCTATGGTCACCACCTCAAAGAGCATGCACAGAGAAGTCCAAATTAAACATGATTTAATGACTCGTAAATGTAAGTACACATTGATGGCCTACGACACGAAACGAGCGGTTTGTGTGAGAAAACGAACAGTATTTATATCGTTTTTACCTCTTGTAAACACAGCCACGTCCAAGTGATCTGAGGGCGCCGGCGCTTCGGTCTGCTCAAGCGCCGGAAGTGATCTCTCGCGCGTGTACGTCACTCATTGTTTACACAGAACAGAGATTGTAGGTAAGACGGCTAATTAAAATGGTACTAATTTGCGCTTATCCGGGATGTTTAAACCGTCGTAAAAGAAAAAAAGAAAAAAAAAGAAAAAATAAAACAATTGTATGAGTGAAGTACACGTGCGAGGTTTCACTTCCGGCGCTTTCCGGAAAAGACCGAAGCGGCCTCAGATCACTTGGACGTGGCTGTGTTTACAAGAGGTAAAAACGATATAAATACTGTTCGTTTTCTCACACAAACCGCTCGTTTCGTGTCTTAGGCCATCAATGTGTACTTACATTTACGAGTCATTAAATCATGTTTAATTTGGACTTCTCTGTGCATGCTCTTTGAGGTGGTGACTAGAGGGCTGCATTGGGATTGAGTCCCGCCGGGTCCCGCGGGACCCAACGCAAATCTCGCGTGAGCGGGCGGTTTGAACTTTGCTGCGGGCGGGAATGGGCGGACAAATAAAACCCCTGCGGGATTGGGAGGTAGCCTAACGACATGATGGAGATGTCAATGATGTGGAAAAGAACCTTAAACGAGGTATTTACAGCATAAAATCTGAGCAAGGCAAGTCTGACATTTACTATTCATCTTCCTGATCAGTGCGTCAGAATACATGCAGGCCAGGGAAACGAAACCAACAACCCCATGAATCTCTTTAACAATAGCAATACAAATACGCGTTTTTTTCCTGCGGGACGGGAGAAGACACAAAGTCAATGCATCTCTATTATTGTGCGGGAATAAATTCTCCGAGTTTTGCGGGTGCGGGCGGGAGTGGACATACATATTGCGGGAGCGGGCGGGAGTGTAACACGTACGTTGCGGGAGCGGGCGGTAATGGTCAAAAATTCGGCGGGAGCGGGATGAAGAAAACAGTCCCGCGCAGGACTCTAGTGGTGACCATAGACCTGCATTATATGACTGACAGACAAGAACGGTTTGACCTAAAAATATCAAAATTGAAACTACTGTGGAAACAAAGACACCTACATCTTGGATGCCCTTGAGGTAAGCTAAAACATACCAACAATTTATTTCAAAGTGAACTATCCCTTTAATCATGTAGAAGACTCTAATTGCTTTTGCATTGCTCTCTCTCTCTCTCTCTCTCTCTCTCTCTCTCTCTCTCTCAATTTGAATTTGAATTTCAAATGTGCTTTATTCGCATGACAATTGTTTCAATGTATTGCCAAAGCATTTCCAATCATCATACATATACATATAGAAAAAAAAAATAGAAAAAAAAAGTAAGTATAACAGTGAATCAACATTTCAGAATTCTATGAGCAATTTTGAATTCAGTGAGTGTGTGTGTGCGTGTGTGTGTGAGTGCATCACTGATTTGTCGACTCCTCCCTCTTTTTGTGACCGGCACCAATATATCTTGCTGCTAGTAGGTTACAATCTCTTTTTTCACCTAATAAATGTTGAAGTTGCATTTTGTTGTTTAATTTTATGAAGTTAGGGCAAAGTATTTCAAATTTCAAAAGTTGCTCGGTCTCCACTCTCTCTCTCTCTCTCTCTCTCTTTCTCTTTAAATATTGTTTTAAAAAGTTTGTTTGAAGGTTTTGGTAAAGTTTTTTCTAAACAGTATTTTATAAGTGGTCCCAAATATAGATTTCACGAGAGAAGAAAAATATGCATGTTACATTTTTTGTTGGAAGACTCGTAAAAATAAGTTATTGGGTATAGGAAGACAGTAGATGCAGAAAATGCTTTTAAAGGCATGGTGACTGCTAGAATTGAAATTGAATACACACATATTTTAAACTGATTAAAGAAATACAAATGTTTTCTGAAATATGGTCTATGGGAGGAGTATTGTGTGAGGTTTTGGAAAATGAAATGTAAAAATGTTTGAAGTATAAATGTTTATATTTGTATTTTATTGTATTATTATAAGTGAATTTCGCTAATGGATTATATAATCAGATAAGAAATCTGGTATCTGAAAAAAGTTAATGTTTTGATAAAGTTGTGTTAAGCCTCCCTCTCTCTCTCTCTCTCTCTCTCTCTCTCTCTCTCTCTCTCTCTCTCTCAGGGTTTGACCTGTGTGAGGTGGGTCAGGAGGAGGTGGTGTTGAAGACTGGTAAACAGGCCAACCGTCGCACCATGCACTTTGCCCTGCAGTCACTGCTGGCGCTGTTTGGTGAGTGTCACTTCACCCTCACAGTGTCAATCACATCAACAAACATTTAGGTATTTAGTTAGTAATGTTTTTTTTTTGCCATCAATACCAAAGACAAGAAGAAAAAGACAGATTCTAAAGTAGCTAATATTTCATTGTACTCAAATAAGCTGTTATTTTAGGGGCTTGTTTATAATAATCTATCTTATAATCTTTTAAATTATAAATACATTTGATATATTATCTATCTATCTATCTATCTATCTATCTATCTATCTATCTATCTATCTATCTATCTATCTATCTGTCTGTATATGTGTAACACATTTTTTTTCATGTAATATTTTTATTGGCAAGTCAAGTTTGGCTAGCACATTTTTTTTGTCAAAAGACAATAACTATGACTAAAACAAAAAAATGAGTAAAAAATATATTTTATATTTTCATTATATCTGTTCATATATCATATATCTGTTGCAATGTTAATAAAAATATACAATATATTTTTAAATAATACTAGGACATATTTTCATTTTTTTATAGAAATATATACATTTTATTATTTTGAAAAGAGTCATGTTTCATAACATTAATATAATTATATAGATAATCACGACTACTCTTTTTACCACTTATAAAATTTCTATATCTATACTTCCTTAAATTTCATCACAAATATTTATATATACATAGCATAAAATTATATTTCTGATTAAATTATATATATATATACACATTACAATATTGGTAAAATATAACATTTGTATTTAATGTATAATGTTAATAATATCATATTATAATAGTCTTTCATCACATAAAAATAATTATATAAATCCTAAATAATTACTATTTTTACTGCCAATAACATTTCTAAATATTTACACCCTTAAAGGAATAGTTCACCTAAAAATGAAAATTATGCCATAATTTACTCGCCCTCAAGCCATCCTAGGTGTATATGACTTTCTTCTTTCAGTTATATTAAAGTAAATATAATTAATTATTAAAATAATATAAGTTATATTAAAAAAATATCCCGGCTCTTTCAAGCTTAATAATGATGAGTGAATGGTACCTTAGTTTTGAAGCCTGAAAAAGCGCATCCATCCATCATAAAAGTAATCCATACGACTCCAATGGGTGGTTAAATGCCTTCTGAAGCGAAGCGATGGGTTTTTGTAAGAAAAATATCCATATTTATAACTTTATATACTATAATCACTGGCTTCCAGCAACGGCCGTACACGAGTCTAGTTCCGGCTGAAGAGTGACCTCTGACCCGAAGCATGACGTAAGACATATGGCGTAAGCATAGGTGAGAATTGATAAACGCGGAAGAACAGATGATAGAGCAAAACCAAACGTCGGTCAAAAATTAGAAGTCTGAAATTAAAAGTTTTAAAGAAAAATGTTGGAGGCTTTCAATAGTAGAGAAGAAGAGCTGGGTCGGGTCAGAGGTCACTCTTCTATCGGAACTCGACTCTCTCGTGAACGCGCGTGGTCGTTGCCGGAAGCCAGTGATTATAGTTTATTAAGTCTTAAATATGGATAAATATTCCTATAAAACTAGGGCTGTCAGTTAAACGCGTTATTAACGGCGTTAACGCAAACCCATTTTATCGGCGTCAATTTTTTTATCGCGCGATTAACGGTCTTTTTGGCCTAGCAAACTTTGTAGATTTTTTCACATGCTTTTGCAACAGGACGCGGCGTGCGCTATGAAACCCCATTCATTTCAATGGCTTGCGCCGAGCGAGGACGTTTTGTTGCTTCGTCGACCAAAGCGCAAGCGGATCTAGCTAGACCGGAAACAAAACAACAGTCACGCCGCACACACTTGTTTGGGCTTGCGAGCCGGCCAAATATTAGGTTAACGTTACGTTTTGAGTGGATGACGAGTGCGAGACGCCGAAATGGATGCCAATAAGATTCTGAATGGAAAGTTTACTTTTAAAAAGTTGCAAAATGGTTCCATTGACGAGAGCAAAGTGATCTGTGTGTTTTGTCGTTGTGAACTGAGCTATCATCATCGCAGCACGTCCAGTCTGAAATACCACTTGATGATGGCCAAGCACACACACACACACACACACACACACAGCTGATGCGAATTCTCCGCCCCTCGTCAATATCAGGACCTCGTCAGTATTTCTTTCACCCTTTTATTGATGGACAGTGTTACATTGTGTGAGAGATTATTTGCTCCAAGTGAGAATGTTAGTGTGAAATTGAACACAGTATTGTCAATGTTGTTTTCAATAGAAAATTTTTGCACAAAGCAAGCCGATCCACTTTTCCATGTTGATAAGAGCATTAAAATGAGAAAAAATAATGGGACAAAAAGAAATCAAGAGACATTTAGAATAGATAAAAATGTGCGATTAATCGCGATGAAATATTTTAATAGTTTGACAGCACTAATAAAAACGCACCGCTTCAGAAAGCATTTATTAACCCATTGTAGCCGTATGGATTACTTTTATGATGGATGCACTTTTTTGGAGCTTTAAAAACTTTATTTACCTACTATTTAATATAACTCTGATTGTGTTCGGCTGAAAGAAGGACGTCATGTACACCTAGGATGTAAATCATGGGATAATTTTCATTTTTGGTTGAAATGGTATTTTGGTATTCCTTTAAAAATACAGATATCAATGTCATGTTCCAACATCTGAATTTTTAAATAACTCTTACTTTAAATGCTTTAATGTTTCCTTCAGACTCAACCGAGCTTCCGAAGCGTCTGAGTCTGGACAGTTCCTCATCTCTGGAGTCGCTGGCCTCGGCACAGTCCGTGTCCCACCAGCTGCCCATGGGCTTCCCCAACCCTCCCTTCTCCCCCCCGTGCCCCGACAGCCTGGCATCGGACGCCATCTCCGTCTACAGCCTGAGCTCCATCGCCTCCTCCATGAGCTTTCTGTCCCGTCCCGAGGGAGCGTCCGAGTTTATTAGCCAGCGCTCGCGACAACAGGAACTAGAGCGGCATCGGGGCGGAGCTGGGATTTTCGCGTCCCACAGGCACACGGCAGTGCCACGCAGTCGCTCGTCCCCACATGGAGCCGTAGGAGGACATGAAGACGAAGAATATGAGGGATACAGTATAATCAGCAGTGAGCCGTTGGGAAGCCAATGCGATACGCTTCCTCGTCCCGCGAACCACAGGAACCATCGGGGCGCGGCGCGCGGCGGAGCCGGCAGGGGTTACGCGGTATCCGTGTCCTCCAGGGGAAGCGTAAGCACCCCGACATCTCCTGTCAAAACCACCCTTGTTCCCAGTCCCAACTCCCCGTTCCAGAAGGTCGGGAAGGTGAGCAGCTCCGACACGGGCGAGTCCGATCAGTCGAGCACGGAGACGGACAGCACTGTGAAATCCCAAGAGGAGCGTACGTCCGGAGCGCCTTTGGATCCGCAGGAACTCGCGCAGAAAATCCTCGAAGAGACGCAAAGCCACATGCGGGCCGTCGAGACTTTGCAGAGAAGCGTCCCGCTGGGTGACGGGATGAGCAGCGGAGGTCCTCCGACTCCAACCGGAGGCTCTGCTTTCCGTTCCTCGGAGACGAGCGCGTTCAGTCGGCCTAGCAGCAGAGCTAGCATCAAGGCTCAATCGTCTCCGCTCCCGACCCGCCCCAAACCGCCTTCCCGTACCTCCTCCCTTCAGAAGATCAGCTCGGGATACAACAGCCCTGCCACTTCAGAAACGTCCCTGAAGGAAGGCAGTCAACCCTCGCCTACTTCCGAGCAGTTTAAACTCAAGTATCCCAGCTCGCCGTATAGCGGACACATCTCTCGCTCGCCCAGTAATGTCTCGCCCAGCTCGGGACACCAGTCGCCCGCCGGGAGCGCTCCCTCTCCGGCGCTGTCCTACTCCTCGACGGGTTCGACTCGCTCCAGTCCGGCGGACGCCCCGGATATTGACCGACTCAAACTCGCCGCTATTGACGAGAAAGTCCAAGCGATCCACAATCTCAAGACCTTCTGGGCCAACGCGACCCAACAGCAGCACTCGGGACCGATGCGGGTGCTCCGCGGCGGGAAACTGAGCACCGCAAAACGAGATGTCCTGGGTCTTTTAAACCTCTCGCCTCGGCATGGAGTGACGGGTCAGGATTCGCCCGGTCAGGATGTGGCGCTCGAACACAGAAATCCACCAAATGGCCATCGCAAAATCGATCCGAAGAGAGTCGCACCTTCTCCGACGGCTTCCACCGGTTCCAGTCCCGGTTCGCATTCAATCCGACTGCCTACGGGGAACGGGTACAAGTTCCTCTCGCCGGGACGGTTCTTCCCTTCGTCTAAATGTTGAGATTCTGTTCCTTCTCTTGATGATTAAGGAGTATTTGGAGTATTTATAACTCTTGTAAACAGTGAAAAGGACAGTCTGGGTTAGGAAGTGCACATTCCAAGAAGCCTCAAACTGCCTACTGTTTTGTTTTCCGTGCAGAGAGCATATAATCCTTATGCTTCCACCGACACTGTAAAGGACCGTTTATATATGCAGACTGATCTTAGACCTGCGCAGGGCATGTCAGATTTAAAAAAAAAAAAAGAGATTATACCAAAATGGTATTTCAACAAAAAGACAAAAAGGCTCGCTGTTTGTGTTAGTGAATATGATGCGGCTTTGACTGGTTTATTTCTTTTTTTTTCTTTTTTTTTTATATATATATATATAATTATTGTTATTGTTATTATTATTATTATTATGGATGGTAATTGTTATTACAGTTATTTGTTTTGTAAATTAAAATCAACGTTTTGCAATCAGTATTATACGTTTTTATATTGTTAAAGAAGCAAATCATGCACAAAAAAAGTTGAAAAAAACATTTTCATATTTTTATTGAGATGGTGACGATGCACCTGACCTGACTTCTGTGTGAATTGAGTGTCAGTATTACAGCATGGGTTCTCTTGCTCTCCAGTGATTCAATGTCTTTTTAACAGAGATTTTGCATATGTGGACTCTCATCCAGACACATCCCAGTCATTTCTCAGCAAAATGGTCTCAATAAAAAGTTTAATTTACCCTTGTGGTGGTCTGCTATTCATTTCTTTATATTTCACCTGCATTATATCTTCATTAATAAAACAAGAACATTTCACTGTTATATTCTTTGCATTTGGTCTATTTTTAAAACATTTATTTTGCATTGCTTGACAATTGGCATTCTCGTTACACATATTTAAAGTCGTCCTGTGGTTAAAATCAAGCTTTTAATGTTGTTTATATGTCTATGTGGTGTTTTTAATATGCTTTAAGACAAACCATGTGTAAATTCATAAGTCGACAGCATTGCTGAGTATTTTCTGCTTAAAACTGCAGTGAACCAAAGACAGTCTCAAAAACACGTTTGAAATCGCTGGTGTTTCTGACGTCACAAACGACCTTGTAACCAATCAGATCAACGTGTGATCGTCAACCAGTGGATCTCTGAGCTAAGTGAGTGGAGGCGGGGCTCATTTGCATATTCATAGAACCGCGAATACTAAATGAGGCAAGGGTGTCGAGTTACATTCAAGATATTTTAAGGCATGACAAAAACATTTCAAGGAAATACCGTTTAAATGTGTCACTTTGGTGATCAAAGGTGAGTTTTAAGGGATAAAATGATTGACTACAGGGGGACTTTAATTCAAATCAACATAAATTAAATTCAGTACAAATACTTCTGTTACTAATAAATAGTTACAATAATTTAACTTGTTTTTTCCTTTCTTTTAATGTTGGAGTTAAATCAGAGCTGAATGTTTAGCTGCTATTTGACAGATTTGAGTTTCATGCATTAACTTCTCATACATATAAAACATTACTAAGCCTTAATATGGTGTGATCATGCTGCTGATATAAGGCAATACATTTGGGTTTAAAGTAACACAATACAATATCATCTAGGTTTTTTTGTTTTTTTATTAATTTTTGATGCGCCGAAACTAAAAATACCAGGGACCCCCTAAAGGCAGCTATATACTTTCAAGTGTAAAAAATACCCTTTTATACTGTGAAAAACAAAAATATTGCGTGTAAAATATGGAGGAAAAAAGTTTTCTACTGTGTCATCTTTTTTCTACCCACCATCAAGATGTTTAAACCTGCAGAGAAACATAAAATGTTGACTGAACTATGTAACATTTCTTTAGAAAGAAGAATAGTAATAATGTGAAACTGTTGATTGTAACATTTGTTTTATTATGAATGTTTTTTTTATTTAAATTAGGAAACATTTTTCTGCCATTCTGCAGAATGATTTTTTTCTAAACTTTTTCTAAGAAAAGAAGCATATCAAGTCCACAAAAATAAATAAATAAAATTTGGACGTGCTATGACAATATCGCTGTATTTTTTGGAGTTAGGCCTATTTCTTGTTTTTCTTTTAGTACCATGGTAAACAGTAGCTGAATATGTATTTTTTTTAATGGTTATGATTGTGAAACTTTTTGATCTAGAGACTTCTAAATCTAACAGCAAATATAGCGTTCCTGTAGCTCAAACTATAGAGGATGGTATTAGCAATGGGTTTGATGCGCAGGGAATGCTGATTAAATGTGTACCTAGAAAGCATAAATGTAAATAAATAATCATATGGAGTGGATAGTGAAGGAAAAGCATTATCAAGTGTCCAGCATGCATGTGAACTTCTTCAGTAGTGATTAAAAGCATCCCAAGGGTATATGAGAAGTTGAGAACATAACAGATAGGCCTACACAAATATACATAGGCTATAATTAAATCACCATTTGTGTACATAATTAAACAGACTCATGTGTAGTGGGCTATATCAGAAAATCAGTATACAAGAAACAATAGCATAATCATATTAAACATTTGGTTGGGTTGCAATTGGAAAAAAAGGAAAAAAGAAATCGAAGCACATCACAGGCTGTGATAGGGCGCGGAGAATATCTTGGCTTGTGACGTCAGTCGTGACGTCGGCAGGCCTGCGCGCAGCCGTAACCGGTGTAAAGAAGATGGTGCTCATCAAGGAATAGTAAGTAGAAGTATTTTTTCCACCTCTCCAGCCAAACATTTTATTTGCTTACGTTTACACATGATAAACGAGTATCTGCTGGTTCTCGATCACTTTTTGAGGGGAAAATGTGGACGCGCGGAAGTGGACTCGCGCCCGGGAACACCGGCTCGCGCATGAGGCCCAGCTTTAGCATGTAGCATTAGCATGCTAGGCTAAAGGAAACTACCTGCCATTCATTTTCAACGAGCGGTACGTTAGCACGCGATGCTATTAGCCGTCAAGATTAAACGACACCAAATCTGGTGATTCCCTCACATACAACGTAATATACATTGATTTTTACCAGTTCATATTTTCAGAAAGTGTCTGACTTGAAAGTAAGCGCATTGATTATAACAAATGTTTTTCCCTTTATATTAAAAACTCGCTATTTAGTGATTTTGTGCGGGTTTATGTAAGTAAGGCATTAATGACAGCAAAACCGCTTGACAGTTCGGCAACTTTTTGAGTACATTTCCGATAATATCAGATTCTGTTGCCGATATATTATATAACGTTGCAGAGATCTATTTACGTCTATCAAATGTAGGTGTTAATAACTTAGTTTAGCTTTTAAATGGACAGAGAGACTTAAAGGGAAAGTTCAAATTAAAATTTTGTCATCACTTACTCTCAAGTTGTTCCAACCCTGTATGAGTTTCTTTCTTATGTTGAACACAAAAGAAAATATTTGAATAATATGGGCAACCAGACAGTTGATGGACCCCATTGACTTCCATAGTAGGAAAAAAATATAATGGAAGTCAATGGGGTCGTCTACTGTTCATTTACCGACATTCTTTAAAATATCTTCTTTTGTGTTCAGCAGAAGAAAAAAGCTCATACAGGTTTGGAACAACTTGAGGGTGAGTAAGTAATGATGAAATTATTATTTTTGGGTGAACTATCCCTTTAAAGTTCGATTTTTAAAACCGGTGAATGGCAGCCGGTTGGTCTATAGTTGAATAGTGTTTATTGATGATTAAACTGTTAAATGACCCTCTTGCTTGACCTAGCACGTTTGGTTCGCCCTATTAACCACTTAATCTAACTATATTTACTCATGTGACGGTTCGCCTTATTAACCACTTAATCTAACTATATTTACTTGTGTGACTTGTTTTTTTTATATATAGATACATTCTGTTTTAGACATTCTTGAATGCATCCAAATTGGGCTTAAACATCAATTTGACAGGTGACCCTGGTTTTAAAGGGCCCACAGTCATTCATTTCCAACCTGTTCTTGTTTCCTTTCAGGTTTTATCTTTCTGCTCTCTAGGGATCTAGTTATCACATTTTAATTAGGTTCTCATCTGTTGGACAGGACATGACATGCTTGAAAACAGTTGCTGTATAGCCTTTAATCTGAGAGATCGGATCAAGATTATGCCACCTTATGAAATCCAGCACCTTTTTAACCTTCTCTGAAGGTTCAAAGTATCCACCCTTTAGGTTTGCAAGAGAATGCAAATTTGAGTGATCCTCACGTCACATGAAGCTGCGATGCAACAGGTGTGCATGGCTTTTGTTCCAGAAAACCCTCCGGACAGTGTCAGAGATCTAGCATGATCAGTGTGTTTGCTGCTACGACCTACGTCTACTGACTAGCCAATAAAAATGCAACATGAAATGGTGTATTGATCAATGCGACATGGCAATAAAACTTAAACCTATTACCTCAAGCTACATTTGGCATGCCAATTTGGCCTCTTTTTCCTAGCCATGACTGCGTCCATATTCTCCTTTCATTTCCTCTTTTTTTTCAACATACATACAAACCACAATTGCTTAAGTGCAATTCATTTTGCTCTATTGTTGTCTAATATTATATGTCGTGATGTTTTATTCTTCTATACTAACTTGCGTCGAAGCCTACGATTCAAAAGGTGTCATCATCGTACAGTCTACATGCATGTTGTACCCAAGTTTATTAGATCATGTCAAGTCCGTATCAGGCGTTAGATGTCCCGCGTAACACTCAGTCTGTTGTAAGACTGACTCCGCGCCGCGGCTAAGAGAGCATTTCAACCTCTTGAGGTTTTCAGGGGAGTTTCCGTATTGAGGAAATGTTGAGTAATGTAGAAACTGATGTATGTTTTCCTTTAAAAAAAGGTGTGGACTGTGTATTATGCATGCTGGTGTTGAATTGACCCTGTTTCTGCAGTGCTTTGCATCTCTGTAGATTGATTATTTCTTCATAGATCAGGGATTGACGGGGCTTTACTGCTATGATAGATGGGCGGTCATGGATGAATGATTGGTCGACTTGGTTTCTTACACAACTTTCGTAAACATTATATGTGAGCACTCGAGATGAGCAGTGGACTTTAATACGGTTGTTTTATACAGTAAAAGTTATGTTTTATTGGTAAAACTGCATAATAGCTTGAGTTACATTAACATTATGTGTAATAATCCAATATATCGTCGTCCAGGCTGATTATTAGTGCATGTTTGACCACAGTGGGTATAAAGAGCTGTTGGCTCTCAGTAGGGCTGGGCGGTATGACGGTATATATATCGTTAACGCGGTAGAAAATGTCAACCGTAACAGATTTTTTTATCCCGTCGTGTATACCGCGACATGTAAATAAGTGGGCGTGGCTAATTCCCGTGCAGCATACGTGAGACTGATACACTAAGATTTGTCAAAGAAACATGGAGAAAGCAGATCAAGAGGATCCACAAAGGAATTGTTTTTTTTAAGGTTGTTGTTAAAGGGATAGTTCACTTTGAAATTAATTTTTGGTATGTTTTAGCTTACCTCAAGGGCATCCAAGATGTAGGTGTCTTTGTTTCCGCAGTATTTTCAATTTTGATATTTTTAGGTCAAACCGTTCTTGTCTGTCAGTCATATAATGCAGGTCTATGGTCACCACCTCAAAGAGCATGACCAGAGAAGTCCAAATTAAACATGATTTAATGACTCGTAAATGTAAGTACACATTGATGGCCTAAGACACGAAACGAGCGGTTTGTGTGAGAAAACGAACAGTATTTATATCGTTTTTACCTCTTGTAAACACAGCCACGTCCAAGTGATCTGAGGGCGCGGGCGCTTCGGTCTGCGCAAGCGCCGGAAATTAAACATAACTAGTATTACTAATATCCTACAAAATCAAAAGGAAGTAACTAATTTATTATAAATAGTATAGTTCAATGTAAAATATTCAGATATTATAAACTGATTGATGAAGTAAAGCAATGCATGAGATTGAAAAATTATTCAGCAACACTTTATTTAAAGTTTAATTGCACCTATGAGTTGTATTTAATATAAATCAGTTAGGGGAAGTTCATCTAAAAGTTGATGAGTGTGTTTTGTTTACTATATTTAGCTATCAAATAGTTTACCAAAGAAATAATTTACCAAAGAAAAAAAGAAAAGAAAAATCAAACAAGATTAAGTACTTTTAATTTCTATAGTATTTGGGTTTATTTATTATACAAAGCCCCTTTTGTCGATTTTTCAAGAATAACTACATATATAAATAACTATATCGTGAAATATATCGTTACCGTGAAATAAAATTAGTCATACCGTGAAACACAATTTTGCTCTAGCTCTCAGGAAACCAGGTTTGAGTCTGAACTGGATCATTTCCCCTCTCTCGCCCCCACATATGTGCTCTAGTTTCCTGTAATAGTGTCCATCTCGTGTGCTGTCATTAAACTGCGTATTATGTGCCATTATGTATGTTTCTGATTATTGGAATTATCGTTAGTTGATGAAATTGCTTGTTTACTACTAGTAATAGACTGATGATGTATATCAGCCAGGCTGATTAATTATCTGATATTTACACATTTAGAGATTATCAACATCGGCCTATTAACAAATGAATCAAATTTGTTTTAGTAGAAAATTTAAACAGCTGTTATGTGACTTGCATTTAATTAATTAATTATATATATATATATATATATATATACATATATATACATACATTTGTTTTATAAATAATACGTTTATTTTATATATATATAATACAAACATTTTGTTTTATAATATTAAAATTTAATAATATATATATACATTTATGAATACATTTATAAATATATGTTATTATGTTTATTTATAAATATGCAAAAAATTATACTTTATAATACTATTACAATTATATATATATATATATATGAAAATTATACATTTATTTGTTATATTTATTTATAAATATATACAAATAACAAATAAGTATTTATAATATCTTTTATAAAATATGTATTTTTTATAAGTATATACATTTTAAAAATATGACTTTTAATAAATATAAACATGAAAATAAGCAAGTATTTAAAATATTGAACAAATTTATTGACAAAGTTAGAAATTGTATAAAGTAACTAAACTGAAAAAAATGGCTGGTGGTGGAGTTTGATATTTAAAAATGTTATATTTACTTTTATTTTGTATCTTTGTGTGTGTAACATGCATGTTTTCTAATTGTCCTTGTTTCTTCTTTCAGTCGTGTGGTCTTGCCATGCTCGGTGGAAGAGGTGAGTACAGCTCTTTTTATTTTTCACACTTCCTCAGGTTTTGATAAGTTAAACATTGACTGTAAGTGCACAGTGTCACTTTAACCTTGAAAACCCGAGCCTTGTTTCCTAATGTTTAATATTGCTGAGGGGTTATTAGTTCCGTTAGCGACGTCAGTACAACCAGACAACTGTTTGCACCTCCTCAATCTGATGTTTCTCTGGAGTTCAGTCGCGTAAACAATCGTGTAAAACCTCAGCGTTTTGAACTGGCCTGGCGCGTCGAGGATTTGATCAGAGCAACAAGGACAAGATAAAGCTTGTCATGCATGTAGAACACCGGCGCCCTCGGGGAACACTTGAGTCTCACGCACTTTTTAGAGAAGCGTGCTTGATGTTTGCTTGATTGACATTGTTTGATATTTTGCATTTAGGATGCCGTCGATTCATAGCACTCTGCAGTCAGAATACCTTTGTGAAGTCCTCCTGCAGCCTGACAGCTGTCAAGCAGACTGATTCCAGTTCAGAAGCGTTCAGATATGATGCACAGATACACGATCCTCTTTCTAAAACACACACTCTAGGGCTCTGTTCCAAAACATAGTGAGCGCCTCAGAGAAAAAAGCTTCAATGGTTCTATATAGAACTCTAGGGTTCTTGACTCAAGTTTAAAGAACCCTCAATGCAAAAAGGTTCTTTAGAAGGCAAGGCAAGATTATTTATATAGCACATTTCATACACTATGGCAATTCAAAGTGCTTTACTGAAAGGAATTCAAATAATCACAAAATAAAAGCAAGGAAAATTAAAACAGTTATAAAAGAGATATATGATACAGTTATAAAATTAATTAAAAGAGTAAAAAGGTGATACATGGATACTTCTCATCTGGTAAAACACTGGTGTATCATATTTTTCACAACTCCCAGTTTTATTCTGAGATTTCCCCATGTTGATTACACTCCTATAAGGAGAATCTCCTATAATGTTTATTTACTGTTTTTCTAGTGATAGTCTGTTTACGAGATGTTTAATTCATACAATTTATATTAAAATGAATTAAAAACTAAATCCTTAAAAGGATGCAATGATTGGAACCTTTAAAAGGTTCTATATATGAAGCGCCTGAAAAACCCTTTAAACTTCTTTCTAGAACCTTTTCTTGTTGATTAACCGAGAAATGCTGAGAATCCACGAACGGCATTATTAGTCCTTTTTCTAAAGTAACATTTTAAACATCGATTTTGCATGTTTTGATGTACACATATTCTTGATAGAAATATTAATTTCTATCGTAAAGAAGTGGCCAAATATGAAAGATTAAGTGGACATAACTATTAATTTACATAAATATGAATAACTATTCATGCACATGCCTGTGGCAGTTCCCTGTTTGCCTTTGTTAAACTGGTTTTGCCATAATGTCCCTCTAAGGCATCAATCAGTCACACAATGCAGAGTTTTGTCTTAATATCTGAAACTGCTGGAAGGCACATATTTTAATTATACGAGAGCCGTTTAATTCCCCAGATGCTGATCTGAGTGTTTCCTATATGAAGTCTGTAGGCTTTGTGTTTTCATGCATGTAAGACTGCTAGTTTCTCTTTGATTATGATGTTTTCCTTATTTTACCAGGTAAGATTTAACAAAAAAAACTTCTCTTGATATTAAAATTTCTTTTCCGAGAGGACTTTTTAGGAGTGTACTAGCATATAGATGACCTCAAAGACAAGGGCTATTTTAGTAAGTGATTTATCCATCTAAGTGTTATTTTAGTTTCATTGAGATTTTAGATTAATATTATGAATTCGTTTTCATTTTTATATTTTCCATTTTGGTTAAAGTTTATACTAATGTTGTGATTTTGTTATTTTTATTAGTCTTTATATTTTATCTATATCTATATTTTTTTTATCTTTGTCTATATAGTTACTATTAATTTTTATTTATTTTAGTACATCAAGTTAAAATAAATGAAAATTAGATGTTGCCTTGGCAAAAAGTTATTTTATGTTTTCATGGTTTTAGTTAACTACAATAACTCTGGACTAAACTCCAATTTTTTATTTAATAGAGAGTCATCTTTGGTTTGGTATTGACTTAAAGGGGTCCTATTCTGCTTTTTTCCATGTTCATCTTTCTTTAGTGTGTGTAAGGTTGCTGTTTGAACATGAGAAAGGTCTGCAAAGCACAAAGTCCCTCTAGCGACAGTTCTTCTCTATATCAGTGTCAGTGTTTCTGAACTCCTGAAACGCCTCCATTGTTGTCTTGAGTTTCTTCAGGGAACGAACACGTCACAATATTCCTCATTTAAATAATTCATACGCAGAATAAAGGGGCGGGGCCTGGTTGAGTTAGTTAGTAGTGTGTTAAACTGGCGGTTATGGTAAGGGGCGGGACATTTCCCAAACACACTCGAAGCGCTCGACCAATCACAACACACTGCTCCAGCCGACCAATCAGAGCACAGTGTGCTTTTCAGAAGGAGGGGCTTCATAGAGACAGGAACTAAACAGAGCGTTACTGACAGACTGGGAAGAGAGGAGCCGCAACAATGGAGAATATGGGAAAATATTGTTTTTTTCTATTCTAGTAAAGCCCAAAAACCACATCAAGAAGACTTTGTAAAAGCGCATAATAGGTCCTCTTTAAGTGTGGTCATGCACTGATCATCTGTACTCTCTGACCTGTTTCTCTGCTCTCTGCCATTGCAGTATCAAGTCGGGCAGCTTTTCTCGGTGGCTGAGGCCAGTAAAAACGAGACGGGTGGCGGAGAGGGCATTGAAGTGCTGAAGAACGAACCGTACGAGGAAGATGGCGAGAAGGGACAATACACACACAAAATTTACCACTTAAAGAGGTAAAAACAAAGTCAGCAGCTTAGGTTTATTCTGTACGCCAAGATGAGTTCAGCAAACTTTAATAATATAGTCACGTCATTTTTTATAACACTTAAAAGCTTTGTATAATGCATTATAAAATAATTTTTAATGCATTAATAATGCCTCGCAATGCACATTATAATGCATTGTATGGTTTCATGAATATTTGTTATAATACATAATAATACTTCTCTATTACACATTTAATGCATTAAAACACATGACAAACAACCAATTTCAGATGTAACAAGGACTGCATATTATAACGTACATTATGAACGCCTTTAGAATGCATTATACATAAAAGCTTTAAGTGTTACTGATTTTTTTTAACGACACCTACACTTTAGTATAGTCTGATGTGACACATCTCAAATGTTTTGCAACACCCATTATATGACAAACCATTCAACTTAACGCAAAGCTGTAAATAATTCTTCTGGCTTTGCTTCAGTGCTTTTGTGTTTTGTGTTCGTCCAGTAAAGTGCCAGGCTTTGTGAAGATGATCGCACCAGAGGGGGCGTTAGTTTTCCACGAAAAGGCCTGGAATGCTTATCCATACTGCCGCACGAGTGAGTGGAAAACCTTTTCATCCGTTATACTGCACAATCCGTCACTATCATGTTTTTATTGCATATGACAATATGTAATGAATTACATATTGGGACAGATGTCATGCATATACAGTGTTTTTGATTGTTTCATGAAGTTCTCACATTTGTGAAGAATTAGGCCAAAAACATACTCGCGCAGGTTATTGTTATTCAGGTAGCTTGCTATAAACATTTAAAAATGTTAGTTAAACATCTCTCCGCCGACCTGAGAGAGTTTATGTCTGCTACACTGAGAACGTAATGAACACTTGAGTTGCATTACGATCTGAGCTCTGACGTATTTTCTAGCTATAAAGTGCATTAGTGTCCACTTTTTCAGCTGCGTTGGTTCCGGAAGTATTTTAATGAGCCATGAATCAAGGCAACCAGGTCTGAGGTGAATCACATTATTACAAACTTTAATTTGAAGCAACAAAGCATTTGAAAAGAAAGTACTTGGCTTTAGTCAGGGGAAAGGACTACAATCCCATAAAGCATTGCAAACAGCATTATCAAATTAAAAATGGAGAAAAATAAAACTACTCGTTTAAAAATGTTTATCTATCTATCCATCAAAAGTATTTTGAGAGCGAAGGGAAACCAACTCTATTACGTCAGTCGGAGTGCTTCAGTGGAGTGGGCGGAGCTAAAGAGCTCTTTTGATGCATTTAGCTTGTCTTGACTCTGATTGGTGGAATTTTATGTACAGCATCATGGGTAATGTAGTTTTTCACCACGAATTCCACTGTTAAAGAATTCCAGTGTTTTAAAATAAGTTGAAATAATGTGGGCTGACGGCTTCGACCGAACCAAATACTGTTGATAAATAGGGATGCACGATATTGGATTTTGGCCGATATTCGATATGCCGATATTTTCAAACTAATTTTGCCCGATACCGATATATTTGTATTTTTTTTTAAAGTGCAAAAAAAGCTTATTTAAGCTTCTATTAAAGTTCTCAGTGAAGAGCAGTGAGTTATTTCCTCTGTGTTTTGTTGTTTTATTAACATTAAAGGGATAGTTCTCCCAAAAATGTTAATTGTCATCATTTACTCTCTCAAGTTTCTTTCTTCTGTTGAAAATAAAAGTTATTTGGAAGAATGTGGCTAACCAAACAGTTGCTGTACTTCAGTGACTTCCGTAGTATATTTAAGCACAAGAAAGAAATGAATACAGGTTTGGAACAACATTAGAGTGAGTAAACAATGACAGAATTTTTATTTCTGGGTGCAGTATCTCTTTAAGGACAAGCAGCAGCATATTATAGATACTGTCTCTTTAAGAGCTGCACGCGACGCGTCTAATATACACTCATTTGACAAGCAGATTTTCTCTGTTTGCTTTCACTTTAGACATAACCAACTTTATGTAAAACGTGTGTGTATTTGACAGTATCAGCGCAATAAGACTGGAAAGATTAGTCCAGTATGCAGGCGCTGTGACAGGCTTTAGTTCCTGTGAGCGTCGGGTGTAACGCGCTCAGAAAAGCGGATGTTAGAACAGCGCATCAGCACGTGAATGACATGTTTAACTAGCAAGACTTTGATGCACATACAAATAATGAACTTTTGTGAATTGCAGTGTCCCGTGAGTGTAACCCTACCTCTGCGTTTACATGTGATGTGATGTGAATGTACGTCGCGTTGTACAGTATGTTGAGATGAAGGCGCCAGAACTGAACTGATAGAATGCACGATACTATGATTTTTCTTCAAAAGCAGATCGTGAAGAGATATTTTAATCATCCACGATCAAAAACCGCGTGAGACGCACACCCCTAGTTGGAAGTTTAAGTTGCTGGCGCTCATGCTTCGTTCACGGTCGTCACGTGCGCATAGGAAACACGCCACCCTATCGGCAAGGCACATCGGCAGAAATATTCATATCGGCCGATGCCGATGATGGTCATTTTAAGCTTTTATCGGCCGATACCGATGTTGTCCTGATATCATCGTGCATCCCTATTGATAAATAACCTTTTAGTTCACAGTAGGGCTGTCTTTAAAGGTTTATTGTTTAAGCTTTAAGTTATTGTTAAAAATCAATTTCTGTATTAAAAATGAATGGAGTTTTTACTTCCAGAACTCGACTGTTGCACTCTGTAATGGTTTGCATTTATGTATTCAGAGTATGTTTTAGGCCTTAGACTTGAGTCATTTGTATTGGTCTGTTTTGACAGTGGAAATATGAATGTTTTCTGTGTCACCTGATTATTTTTTCTTCTTTTATTTTTGCATGCTGCTCCATTCTCTTCAGTTGTGACTGTAAGTACAAAAACTTGCTGTCATTGTGACTAGTTTACACTAAACTCTTAGTGCATGACCATTTACAAATTGAATTAATAGAAAAGTCTTTGTTTTATTGTTTATCATTTCAAACTAGTTTTTGTCAAATGTTTTGATTGTTTTGAAGTGCACATGTGTTGTCTGTCTTTTTGATAAATTATAATTTTGTCATTGCATGTGGTGACATTTATACCCCTAAGTGTGGTTTAATTGTCTGTTTGTGTATCTATCTTAGTTCAGCACACCAATCTTAACACCAGTTTACCTAGAACTTAAAGCCAGCTTAAAAACACACACTCTGAAGTTGTTGGGCCTTTAGAAACATGCACTGCCATCAGATGTGATATTTGCATTGCATGCACTGCTAAACCACAGTTTTAAGTGAAGTCATACTGCTGTTTGTGACAAAACCTGAACATAAACATGCATTTTCTCCTCAGAACGAATACATGAAAGATGATTTCATGATTAAAATAGAAACGTGGCACAAACCTGACACGGGCTCTTTAGAGAATGTGAGTAAGACGTTTCTTTGTGATTTGATATTTTGAATGCATCTGTAACATCATGCTCAGGCTGATATGTTTTTGGTGTTTGTTTATGCCCATTATCAGGTACATGATCTGGACCCAACCACATGGAAGACAGTGGAGGTCGTGCATATCGATATAGCTGATCGGTCTCAGGTTGAACCTGCAGTGAGTTCACTTTCCATCAGTCTAGAAACACTTTGCATTGTTTGCATGTTCTTTGTGGTAACATTATCCACTTTGAATATAATGCTAATAGTCCATCTCTGCTGGTCATCCTGTGGTCAGATCGCACTCAAAAATAGGTTATTGATACCCAAACCAGTTTTAACTGTAATTTGCATAATCACCCCTCCTGATGCAAATGCATTAGGGTGTTTTCACATTATAACTTTGGTGTTGGCTAATTGCAAGTGATGTTCCAGGCCACTCTTGAGAAAGTGGCCTGGAATTATTTGAAGCTCTTTTAGTGGTCAACCATTGTGTTCTTGTTAATGACTGATGCAGATAATCTCAAACTGGCCAAATCTGGTTTATCTGTCTGTCACTAGTCTCTTTCATCCTTAAAGTAGAATTTGTGTTTTATGTAATATCCCAATGTTTTCAACATTGATAATAATCAGAAATGTTTCTTGAGCAGCAAATCATCATATTAGAGTGATTTCTGAAGGATCATGTGACTCTGAAGACTGGAGTAATGATGCTGAACATTCAGCTTTGATCACAGGAATAAATTACAGCTTACTATATATTCACATAGAAGACAGTTATTTTAAATTGTAATAATATTTCACAATATTACTGTATTTTTGATCAAATATATGCAGCCTTGGTGAGCAGAAGAGACTTCTTTCAAAAACTTTTAAAAAATCAGATCCCAAACCTTTCAACGGTATTATATATACTTTGCTGGTAATGGGAAAGCACATACTCATATCTAGCAAGATAATACTATTATACTATATATCATAAAATTATCTTGATACCGTAGACCCCCTTTGTTACTGTTTGTTTTTGCTTGTAAGTGTGAGCATATCTAAATTAATACAATTATTCATTAGGTTCATACAAAAACGTCACAGATTTCTCCATCTTTAGCACAAGAGGCATCGTTAGCCTCAAACGTGTACCTCTGACGTGTACTTTGAAACTATTTTCAATTTGGGATTTGCTAATCCTTATCCCACATGCTATATTTAGACTGGCTACTGTGTGATTTGTGATTCAGCCTGTAGCCGGTGTGTTGCATAAGACTGGATTAGGGTGACGTGACATTAGTGTGTGGACCATTGCCCTTCTAACCTGCATTACTCGAGGTTCACTAGTTTACCAAGAAGCCTCCTTATCATTACTTATCAATCCACTGAACCTCCTCTAAGCAGCAGATTTACTGCACAAACTGGTAAAAACAGTCAGTTTGAAGCTGTAGACGTAAAACTCAAGCTTCAAGAACAAACAAACTGGCTGCCGGTGTCGTATACTAGCAGACACGCGTCGCATCAAACATCAGCAGCTTTGAATAAATCCAAATACGTTTCCATTAGACCTCATTCTGGCTCTGTGCCAAACACACACATACAGCTGCACTCGTTTGACTGGAGTCCAGTGTTGCCTATCAGGAGTGTACAGGTTATCTGACCTGTAGAGGGCTGCTGAAGTGACTGCTCTTCTCATGCCTGAGCACTTTTATGCTTCGTATCTTTAATTAGTTAAGTGGATCAGGCCTGGTTAGGGTTAATCCTTATTCCCATATGTTCACGGTACTTAGCGCCGAGGTTTGAGAGATTAAAAGGTAGAGTGCGAGTATGTGCAAAAAGATGGAAATGGTGGGAATTCCCAAACTGAAGGTGTTTTTTAAGATAACGTGTTGTTGCAGACACATTTAGCGACTTTTCAGCATCATTACTCCAATCTTCAGCGTCACATGATGCTTCAGAAACCCTTCTAATATGCATATTTTCTGCTCAAGAAACATTTATTGATATTGTTGAAATTCAGTGTTGGAAACTGATTCTTTTTTTTTTTCATCTTTTTTTTCAGAATTCTTAGCTGAATAGAAAATTAACAATTTAATGCATCCTTGTATGATGATTTTCCCCTCCAAAAAATGCCAACATTGATAATCAGAAATGATTGCAGCAAATTATCACATTAGAGTGATTTCTGAAGGATCATGTGACGCTGAAGACTGGAGTAATGATGCTGAAAATTCAGCTTTGATCACAGGAATAAATTACATTTTAAAATATATTCACATTTGAGGATATAAAAAATATTAAACTATTACTATTTTTACTGTATTTCTGATCAAATAAATCCATAAATAAATGTTGAGCAGAAGAGACTTACAGAAACATAAAAAAATAAATAAAAAACCTTTAAATATAATTTAACTTGTGCTTTAACTTAAGGCCTGACACTAAGGAGCATGCAAATACAACGTGATGTCATATGCTAATTAGTGCATTACGCCATCTAGTGACATTTGGCAACCTTTTTGAGCAGGTTTAAGCCAATTATCACTGAAAGTGGTTGACAATAGAGATAACATGAAAAAAATCAATCATGTTCCTGGTCTTGTTTTGCACAATTAATTGGTAATAATTTACAGCTCTTCACCAAAATTGAATATCCATCTCTGAAATTACTTCTATGCCAACTCAAGCAAGGCAGTGTGGAGAAATATGAACCATAAAGGAAATATAAGTGATCCAAATTGTCATTCTCTCAGGATTATAAACAAGACGAGGACCCAGCAATCTTTCAATCAGAGAAAACCGGCCGAGGACCTTTAGGACCGGACTGGAAAGTGAGTGGCTCTTTTTTAATTAATTTATCAGACATTTATTATTAGTTCCCTATCAACTCTGTTCTATATGAAGATCTTGTGTGATTTCTCCCTGAACAGAAAGAGCTCTTGGCCAAGCCAGACGCCCCTCGTATGTGTGCGTACAAACTAGTCACTGTCAAGTTCAAGTGGTGGGGCCTTCAAACCAAAATAGAAAACTTCATCCACAAGGTAACAATCGACACCCATTCAAACTAGCGCTTAGCAACTTTATCATTTATTCACCCATGTTGTTTTTCCAATCACTTATGGGACACAGAAAGAGATATTTAGTGGTCTAGAGCGCTCTTTTTTTTGTGTGAGCACTCATGTGATATATTATTAAAGCAATACTAGAACAGGTTTTCCTGCTTGAATGTTGATTATTTTCCTCATATTCTCCATCGTTGCGGCTCCTCTCTTCCCAGTCTGTCAGTAACGCTCTGTTTAGTTCCTGTCTCTATGAAGCCCCTCCTTCTGAAAAGCACACTGTGCTCTGATTGGTCGGCTGGAGCAGTGTGTTGTGATTGGTCAAGCCCTTCGAGCGCGTTTATAAAATGTCCCGCCCCTTACCATAACCGCCAGTTTAACACACTACTAACTAACTCAACCAGGCCCCGCCCCTTTATTCGGCGTATGAAACATCAAACAGCAACATTACACACTAAAGAAAGATGAAGATGGAAAAAAAAGCATAATATAGGACCTCTTAAAGGATTAGTTCACTTTTTAAAAAACTTTTGCTGATAATTTACTCACCCCCATGTCATCCAAGATGTCCATGTCTTTCTTTCTTCAGTCGAAAAGAAATTAATGTTTTTGATGAAAACATTCCAGGATTTTTCTCCATATAATGGACTTCAATGGTAGCCAAACGGTTCAAGGTCTAAATGACCGTTTCAGTTTAGCTTCAAAGGGCTTTAAACGATACCAGACGATGAATAAGGGTCTTATCTAGCGAAACGATCGGTCATTTCAAAAATAAATAAAAAAGTGAAAGTTTTATAGGCACAAATGCTCGCCTTGCGAACTCTCCTGTTCGAACTCGTTCATCAAAATGAACAAATCTTTTTTCGAGTCAATGACTCGAAAAAAGATTCGTTCATTTTGATGAACGAGTCATTATATGGAGAAAAATCCTGGAATGTTTTCATCAAAAACATTAATTTCTTTTCGACTGAAGAAAGAAAGACATGGACATCTTGGATGACATGGGGGTGAGTAAATTATCAGCAAAAGTTTTTTTTAAAGTGAACTAATCCTTTAAACTATGGCAAGTTGTGTTGCGCCAAATTTAACGTCAATTGTATTAAGCATTTGTTCCTTATGTGTCTTCTCATTGACATCAACTGGAGTGATGCATCTCAATGAGATTTGAATGAGATTTGAGATGTGTGTCAGTGAGTTTCATAATTCCCTCTGTATTCTTCCAATCTCACAATGCTTTTCAATAACAGCCTCTTTTTCATCTGCGTTTGCAGCAAGAGAAGAGAATCTTCACCAACTTCCACCGTCAGCTCTTCTGTTGGATTGACAGCTGGGTGGAGCTCACCATGGCAGACATCCGCAGGATGGAGGAGCAGACGCAGCGAGAGCTGGAAGAGGTGAGCAGGGCATTATGGGCTGAAGCACGTATAGGTTCCTCCATTGCATTTGCTCCCACCCATCCATGGCAGACCTCCTCATTCCCAGCAGTGCAGATCATGAAACGCTATTCTTTCCACATTTTGGTTTATTCATGAATGTCTTTAAAGGTGTAGGCTGTGATTGCTGTGCCTCTAGTGTCACAAAATGGAATTGCAAAAGAATATCATATTCATATATAAGTGTCACAAACCTCTCAAACTAAAGAAAATTACAGCTCATTTAAAAAATAACGACTTGCCACAAAAAATACAGTAACTACAACTGATTCAGCAAGGGAGATTAGACTAAAACAATTTGAACAATTCAAAATGGCCATTTCAATGCCGTTGCTTCGTATGTTTCGAATTATTGCATTAGAGGGCTTTTATTTTATTTGCAGTCTTTTTGTTATTAAATTCTGACTGCAAGATAAATAGCAACTGGTTAGTGCGCTATTGCAAGAAACACTGAGCTTATAAGTAGGGCTGGGCGATAAAACGATAACGATAGTTATCGCGATATAATTTTTCTCGATAAAACGATATCAAGAGTTTGATAAATGTTCGATAATGTTTATGTGCCAAAAGCGGAACGAAACTCATTTGAACCGCGCGCGCGTGTTTATCCGCTCGGCTCAAAGTCCAAACGGCAGCGCAGCGCGAGCTCACTAGAGTCAAGTCATCTTCATTTATATACCGCTTTTAACAATGGATTGTTTCAAAGCAGCTTTACAGAGATAAACATATAAATTAAGGTAACCGAGATTGTTTTGGCTTTATAGCGGTTCTTGAATAATGTTATTTCCAGCTAAAGTTAATTTTGATTGATTCACCTCCGTCGAAATGATCAGACTTTAACGCTGACGGCGTTCACATGCAGATTCAGAATTGATTCTATAGTTATGTGCTTTTGAAAATATGTGCGCAGGTTTGTAATTCCATACAACCCATGCCTAAACAAACTACTTGTCTTGCCTATACATTTTGATACAGAATTTTGTTTTATTTTATCACTTCGGGGTACGCAAACCGAAATTCACAACGCTTTATCTGTAGAGTGGGCAAGGGATCCTCCATAGGGAGAGGATAGTTGACACTTCAGCACTGCATTGTCATCGGGTCCAGGCGAATCTCCTTCGTCAGATCTGGATACGGCCTGGATCCGGCAGGCTGCGGGAAAACCTCGGGATTAACAAAGACACTAATATTAGCGTAGATGCCATTCTTCTTAAGATGTAACGAGTACATCAAGATTTAAGGGAAGTGTTCCCAGTTCCGGCTCACCTAATCTATGCAGCCTAACATTGAATTATAGAAGTCTGTAATGTATTATAGGGATGCAACGATTACAGATTTTCTAAGTACGATTATTGTCTGAGAAATAATCACGGTTTAACGATTATCACGATTATTATGCATCAATTAATTTCACAACACTACTAATGTATAATATCACATGAACACTCAACACTAGATTTTAATGTGTTATTTATTGCTGCCACAACACAGTACAAAATTATAAAATGGCAAACAATAATCAATCTCTTCCTTTGGAATTAAAGAGAAGTGCTTTGTAAACATCCAGCATTTTTCTTTTAAAAATAACAAATTAAGTCAAAGGCTGCAGGGCTCTTTGATTGAAATAGATCACAAAATTATTACGTTTTTAGTTTGTTCTAAATTTATTTTCAACCCGAGGTAGAAAACTTGATAACATGAAAACAATATCTTGTTGGTATTTGACTTAAAAACATAAATAAAGGGATAATAAATCCCAATGAAAATGAGAATAAACAAAGTATTTGGCTCGATTGAATTAAATGTAAGCTAAATATTAACTTTGTATTTCTTTTAAAAGAAAACAAATATAGTCCAAATGTTATCCACTCCAATATTATTGTACTTATTTTAATACTCTTTTTTTAATTATTAATCCAAATTTTACATGTGCCTTTAGAAAATCATCTATTATAATCTCATTATTTTGGTTTGTTTGTTTGAAGTTTAAGTAAAAATTATAGAAAGAAACTGAGAACATCTCTCATGCAGTGTTATTAATAACTGAAATTCAGTTAATTGGTAGTCCTAGAAGTCTACACGGCCCTGATCTTGTGTTAGTGTTTTACACCGGGCATATTAAAACTACAAAGCCTGACATTTAGGCTACTCAACACAGACGGGAGAAAGCAATATTAAGTTAAATGTTCACTGAAACTCTTGAGAGCACGTCACATTCGGTTTTCCACAGACTTGCGTAACCAAAACATTCCGCTGTTTTTTGTTGTTGTTTTTTTTACGTTGCACTGAAAGTTGCACGCCGCGTTCTCCTTTTTCCAAAGCGCTCCGGAGGTGTCTGTCGTTGCTGTGCTGGTTCTTGTCACTTGACCTAAGGTGCGCTTGCGGCATTCTGAAAAGTAGAGATGTTTTTATCTAGATGCGGCGCGGACGCGCTTGGAAAAAACGAGCGCGTCGCTTCCATTATGAGCGTGCACACCGCGCCCCTACATTTGAAATAACGAACTTGAGCGTGCAAAAGACGCGATATGTGAACACGCACTTAAGGTGTTTTTTCGGCGGAAATAGAGCGTCGCTGCTTAGTCCCTCTGCCATAGTGGTTGACGAGCACGGCACTTTAAGCTGGTGCACCGCTGGTGTAACTTTGTTTTCGTTTTGTGTTAGGTGCAAAAGTTCCGTACTTTGCAGAACACTCGGTGTAGCATAGTCTTTACGATTATTTAACCGTGACGTTTTAAAGCGCTGTTAATTGTGAAATCCGGTAATCGCTGCATCCCTAATGTATTATGTGTATGCTAGGTCAAAGAGATGTGTTTTTAGTCTAGCTTTGAACTGACAGAGTGTGTCTGCTTCCCGGACAATGGTAGGAAGACTGTTCCAAAGTTTTGGTGCTAAATAGGAAAAGGATCTACCGCCAGCAGTCGATTTAGATATTCTAGGTATTATTACTTTTGAGATCACAAAATTAGAGCAGACGCGTTTACTCTGATCGGCCTCAGTCACGAGATCCAGTGAGAAGCGCTTGAATTCAGCGAAGAACACATATGACTCGGTGATTTAAACCAGTTTAAAGGCAGATTAAACAGCGCTGACGAACAGGAGAAACACTGAGCAACGATACAGTTTTGTTTGTTTATTGTTTTATTATTTAGATCCCCATTAGCTACTCCATTAAGCTGCAGCTATTCTTCCTGGGGTCTTAACAATTTTTAACAAAATATTAACAGTCAGAAGGCTTTTCCTTCTACAAATCCCCATCATTTACCACGGATTTACTGTAAGGTTAGCCTAGTAATATTAACTGCACTATGAAATGTGGGATATACATATTGAATTGTATTATATTATTAATGTAGGACTAATGGAATATAATAACATTATTTAAAAATGTGTTTAGGCTACAGTTTTTCATACAAATACCACAGAAACCATAGTTACATTGCCATGATAGTGAGGGTGCTGTAGGCTATGCCTGGTTTTATCTGTGGTTATGATCTAAATGCATGATACTGGATGACCAATGGTTAATTTTAATAAAACTCAAACAGTCAGAATATTACATTTTACCAAATAAAAATTAGCACATGCAGAAACTAAGAAATATTTTTTTTTGTTTTTTTTTTTTATACTTTTATATTTATTTTGTTAAGGACAAATGGCATATGTTTGAATGTTCTACCTCAGATTTGGCAAATGTTCTCCTGTTTGTCATGATATGTTCTGACAATAGAGTAGTTTAAAACCACAATTAACTCTCTGGTTTCTACAACTTTCACTTAGGAGCAAAAATCTGCCTTTAAACTTGAAAGAAATAAAGATTTGACATTTATCGTGATAATTATCGATATCGACTGATATAAAAAAATTATCGTGATAATTTTTTTGGGCCATATCGCCCAGCCCTACTTATAAGTGTATTTGTGCGATACATTGTACAACCTGTACATGATCAGCCTACAGTGCACATCTGGACTGATTTTATTGCGTAACATGGGTGTTTATATGTGGAATAAAACATTAGTACCTGTGATATTAGCACCAAGGGTCATTATTTGATTGTAGACCTAAAATAGTAATAAATCTGCTTCTGGATGTTATTGAAGGGGTTACAGATTTGAGCTATATTGGTTTTTTTTAACCGCTGGTCACTGCTGGCAGCGCTCTCGTATTCTCTATTTTCAGTTGTGTTTTTGTTGAACGCGTCCCAGCTCAAGTGTATAGTATTTGGCCCAGATTCTTTCCTCTGCCCAGTAAATATGATGATCCAACGGCACGCAGTCTCTCCAAACTCTGACACGCTCTGTGATCGCTTTCAGCATGCAGCCAAGGAAAACCACAAACTCTTCACTGCCTGGGAAATATCGATCAATACATTCTCATCCAAATCCCGAAGGCGTAGTCGCTTATTAGTTTTATTCTCAAGCGACGTTTGGGCCAAGACCAATAAAGTGATTCCTTAACCGTCAACCCGTCAGTCAAGTTACGAGTTATATCTTTGTCCTAACCAGTTCATCTGTTAATGCCTTCAGTTGTTAAGGCTGGCATTTATAAAACACGCAGTATATGTCGTAAAACTTTATATTAAACAAACAGTTTTTTTTACACTGCTACTATACGGTTGCCAAGCAGAAAGTATGTATTTGGACTAATATTTGACGAATCAAGTTTGCTTTGGCTTTGCCGTGCTTTACAAAAACCTTCCAGGGTATATATTTTTTCAAAACCTCTTTTATGGAAATGATGGTGAATATATTTCCAGTGAGGATTATGTCAACGTTAACCCATTCAGTGCCTCTTCGCTGACATTAAACTGTTAAATGGGTGAATATCATGAAAACGGTCATGAATGCATCATATTTCTCACTAAAATTAAGAAAATGAAGCATATTTTTGCACCTTTAATATATTTTTTTTGTATTCTGAAATGCAAAAATGTTGCCATTTCCCAATAATAAATAGCTCGTAATGTAAAGAAATAACTTAATATATATATGTGTGTGTGTGTAAAGAAATAACTATATATATATATATATATATATGTGTGTGTGTAAAGAAATAACTATATATATATATATGTGTGTGTGTGTAAAGAAATAACTTAATATATATATATATATATATATATGTGTGTGTGTAAAGAAATGACTATATATATATATATATATATATATATATATATATATATGTGTGTGTAAAGAAATAACTATATATATACATATACATACATACAGTAGTCAACATTTGAAGTGGATCAAAACAGTTAATCAAAGTTGTTCTATGACAAGAATTATACATGATTCATGTATAATACAAAATTCATGTATAACATTGAAAGGTTTTTATCCACTTCAAATGTTGACTCTATATATATATATTAAAAAAGAGAATTAGGTTATTTTATTATATAAATATATATATCATGTTATATATACAATTTATTTATCATTTATTTTATCTACACTATGGTACAATTGTAATGTTTTTCGTTGTTGGTTTTACCCACACAGCATGGTTATTACTGTATTACAATAAAGAAATTGGTTTTATTTATCTGAGAATTTATATTTTAATTTGTTGCTTTTTTTTGAGGTACTGTTTTATTGCTATGAAAATGTCACAGTGCAAAAGATCTGGTAAAAAATTATAATTAATTTTTTTATGTAAAATTAAAAACTTTCTCAAATCCCAGCTTATTATATATATACATATATAGACTTCAGTAGGTAGGTTGATTCCCATAAAAACGATGACGTGGCCATTTCTACCTTCATTATGCTTTTATGTTCTGGCGTTCTCCTATTTTGAGGTTTCCTGACACTTTTCTTCCAGGTCGACGCCAGTAAGTGGAAAGATTGCACCTAACGGCATGTTTTGTTTCTAGATGCGTCAAAAGGGATCCGTACGAGGCACGACGGCAGCCGATGAGTAGCCGAATCCTTTTTAGTAACACAAGGCAGGTGGAGAGACTCCGTAAGGACAAGCAGTCGCTCCGTCGCTCATTCTTTCTCACGTTCTTTTCATCCGCCGCCACCCACTAACCCATCACTTCACTGCCTCCATTTCAGCTAACCACAACTAACTTTTCTTCTGGTGTTCTCCTCTCAGCTGACGTGTGGGCCAACATAACCCGAGTAAAAGTGTTAGTCATTTTAGACAAACTCTTGGCTGAACCGCCCGATAGTTTTCGCTCAGGCCAGAGGAAAATAGTGCCTCAACGGCGCAAATTAAAAGCAGGTGTTTGCAGCTCCTTGAAAAAGCCTCATCTGCAAGTTCTAATGGTTTTAGACTCCAGTTGAAAGGTAAAAGAGGTTTTTGTGAGACGTTCTTGATGTTTAAAGCAACTGTGGTGGCCAACGGCTGTAGTTTCCAAAAGCAGCGTTCTTCTGTCGAGTTGTTGATCTTCTCTCTAAATGAAGCCAGCTTTGCGATGTTTACAGGAGCAGCTGCAATGGCCTTCTTTCTCTTTTCCGTTATTCTCATCCTAAAGGGTTAGTGCATGCAAACAGAGTCATTTACTTCCTTCATGTCATTCCAAACGACTCCACATGACTTGCTTTCTCCACGTTTGTTTTCTGTACAATGAAAGCATACAGTGATCACGTGCTATCAAGCTCAGAAATAGCAACAAAAAAGAAGTTTATGTGCTATATTTCTAAGTCTTCTGATTTTCCTCTCAAATTTGGAAGATGAAAATATGAAATATTTGCAGAGAATGAACGCCTAAATTTCAGTTTGTTCTAGGGGTGTAGCGATTCCCTCATGTCACGATGCTGAACTCGCGATACGATATTATTGCGATACTCCAAGACATATGATAAATGGTTAACAAAAAATATGCACTGTTGATTAAAATGCTAAATTTGATATTACAATGTATGTGTAAATGAATAGGATGGACTTGGTGCTGGAAACCCAAAGCACAGGACAATAGAGACACCAGAATAACAATATTCATGATTCTCAAGCTGAAAATACTGAATTATTTTAAACATATTTTATGTTTTTTATTTTTTTTAGTTTAGAGCTTTATTAGTCCCCGTGGGGCAATTAGTTAGAGCTTACATTTAGTAATTTAGCAGACGCTTTTATTCAAAGCGACTTACAACTGAGGACTAAACCAAGTCATCGTGAATGGACAAAAACAACACAAGAAGTGCTCAAAATACAAAGTTCAGACATTGCTCTGAGTAGCATAAGCCAGATAAGCAAGTAATTAAAGGAAAAGGAAAGAATTTTTTATTTTTTTTATTTTTTTTATGTTAAGTGCTCACGGAAGAGATGAGTTTTCAGTTGTCACAAGGTGCCTCACGTAAAACACTTAGCACATACAAATACATAAAAAATAATAATAAAAAAAAAATTATAGCGATTTGTAGAACATTTAATTGCCCTTAGACGTCGTCCAAATGCAGCGGGTGTGCACTCTTTCACTGACTAGATATATTTAAAATAATTAATGTAGGCCAGTTTTTACTGGTAACATCATCATTTGGCATTATCAGGACCCCTATTGCATTATTATACATTATATTCAACATTATATATAGTAGTTTAATGCAGTACTGACACTAAAACTCTGAAAACCTTTTTTTTTATCACACAGTAACTTTATTTTGGGTGAACTATCCACAATACATATTTTTGTATTGCGATATATTGTGACGCCTAGTTTGTTCATCTCATAAAAGGTGTCAGATGACTTGTCCTATAGTGCATGTGTTGTATGGCCACGACACATTTGTGTAGCCACTGTATACTTTCATTGTATTAAAATGAGCAATGCTTCTTTAATAAGAAAGAAACTCATGCAGGTTTGGAACGATAATAAAAGATGACCGAACTTTTGATTGAGTGAACTATTCCTTTATTTTCGTATTGGTCATGTGTGTTGGACGTCTTTCAGAGTTGCATGAGTCTTGTGTTGATCTTGCAGCGTCTCTAAGGCAGTTATGAAGTTAATTTTATAGACTTTCTTCTTCTCGAGAGAAATTGAGCGTCTATTGAGAGTCAGAATGAAGCACAGCCGCTTCATATTTGTGTTATTCTCCCTCCCTCTGCGTTTGGCTGTGCTGTAAAACGATCTGGAAGAGATGAGACTCTTTCCAAGCGGCTCTGCCCAAACTTGTTTTTTTTCCCTCTCCCCTCCATTTCTCATTTCCCCTCATCGCTCCATTGCTGCTTCTCTGCACTGTGTTCTTGGTTTCTAATCACCGCTTTTGTGTTTGTTGATTTTTTCAGAGTGTGTTTGTATCCGGCGTGTGTGTTTCTGCTCTCTTTGGTTTGAGTGAGCATGCGTTCGTACACGTTTGAGTGTGAAAAAAAATGTCTTGTATTCACACTAACCAGGCACAGGGAAAACTAAATGCTGCAACGATGCGACGAAATCACGGCAGATCAGAAGGAGTTATTAAGTAGTGTTTATTAGTAAGGCACTACTATTGTTAGTCAAACTTAGTGTTATTGATTCGAACAAACCTTGTACTCAAAGTATTAAACTTCAGTAGGCAAATCGCCCAACATTGTTTGTACTGCAGATGTGATTAATTAGACTTAAACCTTTTCACTTGTAGATGATAAAACGGGTGAAAAACCCCTATCTAGAGACTTGAGGAACTTGGAAACAGCCCAGCTAGTTAATTAGTATATTTAAAAAAAGTCTTATTTTTTTTTTATATACTGTTATATTATTTTTACTACTATAGTATTTTATAGTATTCATATTTTGAGTTAGCGTTTGTTTTCGGTTTACTTTTTTTAAGTGTTAGTAACTTTATTTGCTTTTGTTAATTACAGTAATTACAGTTTTAGTCTACTTATTTTTAGTATTTACTTATTCTTATTTTACTTATTCTATCTACTTATTTTTAGTATTTACTTATTCTTATTTTACTTATTCTATCTACTTATTTTTAGTATTTACTTATTCTTATTTTACTTATTCTATCTACTTATTTTTAGTATTTACTTATTCTTATTTTACTTATTCTATCTACTTATTTTTAGTATTTACTTATTCTTATTTTACTTATTCTATCTACTTATTTTTAGTTTTATATTTCGGTAACACTTTACAATTAAGGTTTAATTTGTTTGCAAATCTTCAACTACACTAGTAAACATGAAGAAGCAATGAAAAACACCACAGCATTGGTTATTCTTAGTTAATTTACTAATACATTTTTAAATCGAATTACATTAATGTATTGTGAATAAACAAGGAAAACGTTTATTTTTCAACTAATTGAAATGATGGTTAATGGATTAGCTAACATGAACTAGCAAGCAATATTTATTTCACAGCATTTATTATTTTTTGCTAATGTTAAAGAATTAAAAAATATTTTTAGTTTTGGTTAAAAATAAGCAACTTTATAGTGTTCGGCAGGATTTTAGACCAAATAAAAAAAAAATATATATTCTGTAGGATGTTAGACCTATGAAAAAACGTAATACCCTTATATTAACCATAACAAGTGTTATATTAGTTTTATACTATTGTTATTTTTACTATTGTAGTGTTTATAGTATTTTTATGTTTTGAGTTTAAAGGGGTGATGAACTGAGAAATCAAATTTTCCTTGAGCTTTTCATCAAATTATAAGAATATCCTGTAAGTTTCAGAACTGAAAACGTCCTTGTTAGTCCAATAAAAGCTTTTATTGACACCAGGCTCAGCAAACGGCTTGTTTTTCATAGTGGGGAACTATGACGACAAAGAGGATAAAACACATCCCCCCCGCAGAAGAAGATCAACGCCTACTTCAACACGGCCGGTTTAGCCCCGCCCACCGATCCGCGCATTACACGAAACTCATTATAATATGCAAACTGTTATCCACTCACAGCAGTGGGCGTTTACTTCCAACTCTTCAATGCGAGACGCCCATTAAAACCGAGCGTTTTTTAGCTAGGCTCAAAACTAGGGTAGAAAATAGCCTATTACTTATTCATTTTGATGTTTTTGAATGTAAAAACCAAGCGAATGTCATAAGTTGACCTCAGACAACAATATAAAACAATTTAAAGGATTAGTTCACTTTTAAAAAAACTTTTACTGATAATTTACTCACCCCCATGTCATCCAAGATGTCCATGTCTTTCTTTCTTCAGTCGAAAAGAAATTAAGGGTTTTGATGAAAACATTCCAGGATTTTTCTCCATATAATGCACTTTGCTGGGCACCAAACGGTTCAAGGTCCAAAAGACAGTTTCAGTGCAAACTGCAAACTGTTCAAAGGGCTTTAAACGACACCAGACGATGAATAAGGGTCTTATCAAGCGAAACGATCGGTCATTTCAAAAATAAATAAAAAAGTTAAAGTTTTATAGGCTCACATGCTCGCCTTGCTCTGTTCTTTGTGACTCTCCTGTTCGAACTCGTTCATCAAAATGAACAAATCTTTTTTCGAGTCATTTGGTTCATTTAATGAACGAATTGACTCGGAAAAAGATTCGTTCATTTTGATGAACGAGTTCGAACAGGAGAGTCACAAAGAACAGAGCAAGGCGAGCATGTGAGCCTATAAAACTTTAACTTTTTTATTTATTTTTGAAATGAGCGATCGTTTCGCTTGATAAGACCCTTATTCATCGTCTGGTGTCGTTTAAAGCCCTTTGAACAGTTTGCAGTTTGCACTGAAACTATCTTTTGGACCTTGAACCGTTTGGTGCCCAGCAAAGTCCATTATATGGAGAAAAATCCTGGAATGTTTTCATCAAAAACCTTAATTTCTTTTCGACTGAAGAAAGAAAGACATGGACATCTTGGATGACATGGGGGTGAGTAAATTATCAGCAAAAGTTTTTTAAAAAGTGAACTAATCCTTTAAAAAGCCAGTTCATGACCCCTTTAATATTTTCAACCAATGAGATTTCACTGTAGCCAAATTAAAACCGATCGACCACATGGATTATAATGGAAGAGTGTGTCACATGATAGGCCGCATCGTTCACGTTTTCACTTCATGCCTGGTTAGGACGTGATGGTGTTACGATTCATGTTTGCCTTTATTAGCTTGGCTTCAATCACGCATTAGAAAAGGCTCCTAACGGTCACTGTTTTCTTCTCTCACACCTGTAGCTTCGTAAAACTGGTCAGGTTCGAGGCACCAGTGCTGCTCACGAACAATGAGGCAAAACTACAAGAATCCAACCACGATGACGCTTGACGAAAGACATCAACGCATCCACCAAAGCGGCCAGCGCCGCCGCCGCCGCCGTCCTCCACCAGACAGCAGAATGACACAATGATCAGTAGTACTGGACAGGGTGGACACTCTTGTGCGCTGGACAACTCTTGACCTGTTTTCTAGATTCAGGCAGGTTGATCCAGTGACGATTACCACTTTGTTAGGACGTTTAGACATGTCAGAGTATTGCTGTATGGTTGTGTTATTCTATTTCAGAAAAAAAAAAAGGCATCGGACCAATTATTTGTTTGTTTTTGTTTGGTTATATTTTTTCATAATGGTTCAGATCTTTACTTTTCCTGTCTGTGTTTTAGTCTTTCCCCCCCCTCCCCGAGATGAAGCACTTCTTTTTGGTTCCTAATCAAGGGTTTTTAATTTGCCGTATCTGCGTAGTCCATCTCTAGTTTTTCTAGGAAAACGTGTGATGCTGCTTGCACGGCATGCACATTTGTGCGCAAAAACACTCGTCCACCTCGCAGAATTAATTTATTTTGTCTGCGAGTGGCTTTTGCATGAGCTCAGGCATGTTTTTAAGAGGGTCTCCGTGTTCTCCGAGACCCTTCATGTGACGCAACCCCCCTCAGGACTCTTTAGGTTCTCCTCTCCAAAATCCAGACTAATTACCGGAGCAAATCGCTGCTGCTTTTTTTTATTTTCCGAGTGGCTTTAGGACAGGCGAAGTGCTTTCATATCGCTAATCTACCTGTAACGCTTCAGGGTTCCCACGCTCACAGAAAACCTGGAGATATCAGGGACATGTTGTGATTTCCAGGCCTGGAAAAGTCTCAGTCTCGGTTCATTACATGTGTGCATGCAGGGAATAATTTCATTTAGTCCCTCAAGCACAAATCGCAGTTATAACAGCGCATATGCACATAGTTCTTAGCGGTTTCAAAAGCAGACAAGGCCATTTTTGAGGTGTAACTACTTTTCCAGGTGGATGAATCTCTGGTTACGGATGTAACTTCATGTGAGCAGCGCTTGGCTGATCCTTTTCTGGTATCCTTGCGCATATTATGCAAATATTACTGGCGTTGTCATGACAGCAAATTTAAATTCGCTGTCGCTACACAGGCACAGCCAGTAAGAGATTGTGTTGCAGAAGGCTCATGTTTGTGCCTGTAGTTCTTGTATTATTTCATTGCTTTACTGTAATTGCATTTTTTTTTTGCAAGGGACAAACTGAAATTTTCTCTGATTAACAATGTGCTTGTATTGAACCCAGGACATTTCTTTAATGAAATGTAAGGCATGCATACAGTAGTGTGGTCATCAACAGTGATGTCCGGCTTTGGAAAATTGACATCTTCATCCTTTATTCAAATATAGTTAAAAGTTTTAAGATTTTTTTTAAAGCATATTGTGTAGTTGTGCTTGGAGTCGATTGTTTTATTTGTGATTATAACGTAATAAACACAGTGTGTAGGAATAATTTTTGGCCAGACACTCATACAAAGAAATTATGAACACGTGCAAAACAAGAGAGAACCAACTAAATATTAATAACTGATTATGTCGTAGTCTTTCTCTTTCTCGTTTGCATAGTAAACCTGTAGCTGGAGTTTGCCTTTTTTCCCAAATAATTTTGTCAGATAAATACTGTAACAAAGTTTAGCTTTGTTCTTCCGTAATATATAAAAATATAATTTCCCTCACTTTTTAATGGTTTAATCCAACTCGTAGAAACAAATATCCCCTATGGACATCACTTTTGGCCACTACTGTATCTATATAATTAATGTGTTTATATAGTGAATATTAGTGTGTGTGAAATGATCGCCTGTAAACGTCGTGGGAACCCTGAGCTCTGCACCTGAATGTGTGTGTGTCGATGTGTAGGGCAAAGAGGAGAGCTTTATAAACGCGTTTCTAAGAGCTCGATGTCTGTATAGTTTCTATATCGTACCAGGTCAGATCTGAGCGAGGATGTGCATGTAGAAATAATTCTACTTCCTGTCCTGCACCAGCTCAGATCATCCAGCCTAGCAAAAAGAGTCTGTTTTATCTTCTCGTTCATCGTAGCAGGTTTTTAAAGTGTGTGTGGTTCTCCAGAGGAGGACAGCAGATTATGGTATACTGTGGCCAGTGCATTAGTGAACAGTTTGCACATTTGAAACGTGCTTCTGCCATCCTGAGTCTCATTGTGATTGTCCAGGTAGTGTTGCACATTTGCAATAGTTTTAATGGAAAAGAGTTTCTCATTGGATTGCATGTATTGCTTCTTAACGTCCCTCTCATTTCAAGGTCCACAAATGTTCACGCAATCATGCACCTTGTGATTCAGTCAAGGTGACATTATAGTGCACCCGCGTTTCTTTTTCTTCTAGATCATCGGCGTTCTGATGGGAGGAAGTCAGGGTTTGATTTTTCCTTTTTGGTATTTTCTGTAGAGCAATCAGTGCACTGACGTCTGTTCGGCAGACATGAATACTGTCTCGAGTCTCACGGATCGTGTGTTTACTTTTGTACACGTACAGGGCTTTTAGGCTAGCGGGGTGGGCATGGGGTTCAGAGATCATGAATCAATCATGTATTGTAATCTAAGCTTGGAGACTTTGTTTGTTTTTTTCTTGGGGAATTACACAATGCTGTTACTGTCTTTTTCTGTTTGAAAATCAGGGGAAATATCAGTGAATGTACAATGGTGTGATTTTGATTCTGTTTTTTTTCTTTTTTCTGCAGCTTCTGAATTGGTTATAAATTGAACAATTAACAGTATATCTAATAAATTTCGACACCAGTCGTGCTTGGGATTTTATTTTGAGTGTTCTTGACACTGTGCGGTTGCATGCTTTATTTAATGTCCTGTCACAGTCATGGAAAACCTTGATGTATCAGTTCATGCTTTTTAAGGCCTGGAACATCATGGAGTGTTTTTCTGCACTGATAATATTTATTAGGCGTACATATCCGGTAACAATTTTGCAGTAAGTAACATCAGTAAATGCATTAGAAGTCCCCCTGTTGTCAATCATTTTATCCCTTAAAACTCATCTTTGATCACCAAAATGATTTAAAAAAAATATATATATGTGGTTCTATGAATATGCAAATGAGCCCCGCCTCCACTCACTCACTCACTCAGAGATCCACTGGTTGACGATCACACGTTGATCTGATTGGTTACAAGGTCGTTTGTGACGTCAGAAACACCAGCGATTTCAAACCGTGTTTTTGAGACTGTCTTTGGTTCACTGCAGTTTTAAGCAGAAAATACTCAGCAATGCTGTCGACTTATGAATTTACACATGGTGTGTCTTAAAGCATATTAAAAACACCACATTGACACATAAACAACAATATTAAAAACTTGATTTTCACCACAGGGGGACTTTAATTAACAAGCAATGCATTTGTTACAGTATTTATTAATCTTTGTTAACGTTGGTTAATAAAAATAACTGCTCATTGTTTATATCAGGTGAAGTCAGTTAAATAATGCTAACAGAAAACAACTTTTGAGTTTAACTATGTATTAGTAAATGTTTAAATTAACGTTAAAGGGATTGTTCACCCAAAATTGAAAATTGTAATAATTTTACTCACCCTCCAGTTGTTCCAAACCAAAAGAAGATATTTTGAAGAATATGGGGAACCAAAGAGTTGATGACTTCCATAGACATTCTTCAAAATATTGTCTTTTGTGTTCAACAGAAGGAAGAAATTCATATGGATTCGGGGAGTAAATGATGACATAATTTTCATTTTTGGGTGAACTATCCCTTTAACTAAGATTAATAAATGCTTAGAGGTATTTCTCATGTTGACTAATGTAGTTTACAAAATTAACCCTATTGTAAAGTGTTTCCAAATACCCAAACCCAGTCCTAATCGTTAGTATAGAGGTGTTGGGACTTTAAATGCTACATTTTACATCTGTTTGTGGTCACTGAAATCTAACCGGGTTTTTCCTATAGTCTTCATCTGTGTTTGTGCCTGACAGCAGCACTAGATGGCACTGTTCCTCTTTGTCAAAGAAACAGGTAATGATTTCTTATGGAGGCCAGAGGGACCTACAAAATACGTCTTATAGCTCTCCATTTACTATCCCTCTATTAGTTTAATTTCTTCAGTCATACCTATCAATAAATGGCCACTTATATTTCACCATAAAACCTTTTAGTAGCCTAATGGTTGTGGTTTGTGGGACACTGTCTAGTTTGTAGTGTGAGGTTTTTATTTCTACAATTTTTTAATTAGTATGCATTAAAAAGTTTTTGTTGTGAAGATAAATAATTTGACCCATGCTGCAGAAATGAGTTCTAAAAATACATCACAATCACCGGTTACTTACAGGAAATTAACCCACATTCATTATCTCTGGCTGCCATTCGTCACAGCTTGAAAATGAAGCCTGTTTCATGCATCTGCTAATTTACTAATTAACTGACGCCTATTTACTACATTATCTGTGCATAAAGGAATATGGGAAAGATTTGGGAATGACTGAATATTTACACTGAAGCGTTTTAAATGATGAAAAATGTAAATTGGAGATCTAGTATTTCACACGTAGAATTAAGCATTGACATATTTTTCTTTAGATGTTTTTATAATATGTAGATTTGTGGATGGAAAAAATCATCCCAGTGTAATTAAAAAATCTATAGATGCTATTTTATATTTACTGAATTAATACAGCTAAATCCAGTTTTGATATTTTTATCAGCTGTTATTGATACATATACCTAGAAATCTAGATGATCTCTTTGTGAAAGACGTATAAGACCTAGAAGTGTTGTTTCTTATTAACCTATTATATTGTATTAATACGTTATACATCTCTTTTAGGCTTCCTTAAGCAAAGCTCCGCCCCCTGTGCGTCAAGCCCCGCCCTGGTGCACGAAGCCCCGCCCCCTGCGCATGTGTGCCTGTGTCGGCATTGGTGAGGAATCAGCGCTGGAACAGATGAGGGAATGTCAAACTTGTTGCCGATGCCCGCGGCTCAACACATCCGACACACAAGGATAAATGAGAAAATCTTCCTGGAGCCAGAACTATTTGATGGAAAAGCGCGTACAGTACGGACAAAATTAAAGAAATTACCGATTAATTTTGTGTGCTAAATGCATTTCATACTGTGGCAACAAAAGGGATCCTGGGCTCTCCAGTTTATAAACGCGCGCTCACCCACAGAGGCGCATTGGGTCTCCTCGCAGGACTAAACGCACGCGCGAAGTTCTCCTCGGAGGACCGCTGATTTAATGCATTTATTTACTATTTTTGAGTGCATGTTAGTGTTTTAAATATAGAACAATTCGTCGCGCATTGCATTGGAGATGTGAACATGGGACATGTGCTACGCGCGCTGCTTTGCACTCCTCTGGATATGTGTTGACCGACTTGGGGACGTTACGCATCGAATAATGATGTAAACGAGGAGTTTTATTAAGATGCACGTTTTCCAGGATCGTTGCATTAAGGATATCCATAGAGGACTTCGCGTTTTTATGCTTGTGCTGGATTTGAGGTACTTCCAATTGCTATCTGATCTCATGCTTTCGCATCATTTAATAATTATCAAAATGCACATGTGAAACGAAAACTTTATATATATTTTTTTATTGATTAATTGTGTTTTTGGAATTATAGAATTATTTGGATTATTAAATAAGCTCTTAACGTGTGCTCCTAGGAGACAAAAAAAAATAATGTTTTAAAATACAAAAAATGGATTGTTCGATTTAATTTGATCTCTTTTTTTATTTGCAGTGACAAACAAACAAAAGGAATTTAATCCCTGTAGACTGAAAATGAACTCTAATTATAACAGTGCCGGATTTCATATGAAAGGGCCGTCGGTAGCTGTGGAGCCGATGATGGGTCCCCTAAATGAATCCCCTATGCAGGGACTCAACTTTGTCTCAAATAGAGACCAGTATGGATTCCAGACTCATGGCCATGGGGATATGCTCACTATGGGAGTTCAGCCACAACATCAACTCCACATGCAAGGACCATTCAACCATCAAGCTCCTAACCACGAGCAGCATTCACATCTGTATCAGGATAGTGTCCCCTCTTGCCTGCATGGGGACAGACACATGGGTTTCAACAGCAGCAACGCAGGTCACCCGCATATGTTTGAAGGAGGATTCGGTCAGCAGCTCGCAGAGGCGCAGTCGCGAGAATGCATTTCACAGCAACAGCATCAACAGAGAATGGCGGCCATGCCTGAGTTTCAACCACACGGCCATCCGAACGGTAACAATGCGGTTCCAGCTCCTTGTCTTCCACTAGACCAGTCACCGAACCGCGCCGCTTCGTTCCACGGCCTGCCGTCCTCGTCCCCTGAAACCCACAGACTCGAACATTACAGGCTTTTCCCACAGGGCAGGATGGCGGGATCCGAGCACTGTTTTCCCTGTGATCCTCTGACGGGGAATTTCGACATGACAGGATTCTCCACCCCGGATAATTCAGAGCACAAACTGCCCTATTGTGAAACGGGGAACCAGGTAGCAGGGGGTCCTTTTTCCACCTGTAATCGAACTGGTTCCCGAGGGCCAATGATGGGCGGCTCGAAAGTCGAACAGCAGCTACCTCAGCAAAACGTGTTTTCGGACCGATTCGGGAACAGAGGGAAAATTGATCCAGGGGTTACAGCTAGACACCACCTCATGGCGCAGCAAAGACCAGGACCTGTTGCCAGGCAGAATCCCAGTTCCCCTGCACTTCCACGGTTTTATCACACGCCGGACTATGTCGCGAGCAATGCAGACGTTCAAAGCGGTGGCCCGATGGTTCACGTTCAGCACGGCCACCTTGATCGGCCCATCCATAGACTGAATAACCACAACATGCATCCCTTTGGGGAGCCAGTGTTTGATGTGCCCCAACTAGCCCCTCAACCCCCACATCACCCTCACCTCAGCTCACTACCTTATTTGAATATGGCGAAAAGGCCACGGTTTGATCTCCCAAATGGCTCTGCTGGAGAGAGTTGCAGCCCCCTGAGCAACAGCTTACATAATCGGCCCAATCTTGAGAGCCACCTCTCCCCTTCAGCTTTCCCCTCTCCCATGGGGGACTTCACATCTCATGTGACGGATGGGTTTCCATCAGGCCCCCTACCTTTGAGCTCCGGCCCTCAGCAGCAGCAGCAACAACAACAGCAACGCCGGCAAAACGCAGCGATGATTATCAAACAAATGGCATCGAGAAGCCAGCAACAGAGAATGAGGCAACCCGACCTGCAACAGTTAAGTCTCCACGGGGACGTCACATCGAACGGCATGGTCTGCCGAGGCCCTCTGGGTAGTGTGTCTCAGTCCAATTTCGAGAAGAAGCATAATAATTTTCATGGAAACTTTGACAGCCCCCACCTACCTCAAGAAAACTCATGGTTTCCTGAGCCACAACAGCATTGTAGAGAAACAAACACGCATGCCTTGGAGCAGGCAGAGAACGGACACAATATTATTTTTAGACAAGGCATCACAAGCATGGACATGCAGTCTTTGAATTCTCCCGGAGCGCATCATCCATTCGAGAATAATGTCAGCAATCCTCTGCAGATGCAGTCTCCCGATGAGAGCAACATGCAGTCGGACAGGAGGCCGGCTGAATTCGGAGGAATGGCGATGAGAAGGCAACACAGTTTCCCTCCTGGAGGGCCGAGTCAACAGGGAGCCCCCCAGAGCAATCCTCCGGGATTTAGCTCCTCTCCAGGGAACTATCCCGCCCATCCCGAGTACCTCTCCAGCCAGCACCTGTCAGTCAATAAGCTTGGGGCCCTCTCTTTGGGGAATTTGAACAAAGCCAGTACAAAAGACAGTGTGTTTGGCCAAAGCTGTCTGGCAGCTCTTTCCACGGCCTGCCAGAATATGATCGCCAGCCTTGGGGCCCCAAACCTCAATGTGACTTTTAATAAGAAAAGTCAAAATGAGGCCAAACGCAAAGCAGGTCAGGTTGAGCAGGACATAAATAGCAGTGGCAGTGGCGGCCCAGGGGCAGAGTATTTCCAGAGCAATGCTTCTCAGAATAGTCAAACTCCTTGCTCTGGGAATAACAACAACAATACGGCGACAGGTCAAAGTGGTACGGGCCAGATGGCGAAAAGGGAAGCGAGCACCCTCTCCCCGAATGACAACATGGAGTCTGGATGTGAGGGGAAAATGGCAACAGGCAATGGCAAGGGAAGAGGGAAGAAGAGGCGAGACAGTGGGCACATCAGTCCTGGAAACTTCTCTCCACCGTGCGGTGCTGGAAACCCCGTCGTGAGTCCGAGTCAACAGGGTTCAGCCTTGAGTATAGGCTTGGAAAGCCGAGGGAAGACCCCGGAGAGGTCGCTGGTCTCCCCTTCTTTCGGTAAACCCGACCTCGCCACCTCGATGGACAGTGGAATTCAAAGCGTTGGCAAATCGGATGGCGTTTCACCATGCATGGATTATTTAGACGAAGCAAGCCCAAACTACAGCACCGAGGACCCGAGGCCTTGCAGAGCGGGCGTGAAGTGTAACTCTGAAAACAGGGCGGGTTACAGTGACGCCCCGTGCATGGATCAGGTGCGGACGCCGTTGAGCAACTCGGGCCAGGACGAGGTTCATCCTCTGGAGATTTTGCAGGCTCAGATCCAGTTGCAAAGGCAGCAGTTCAGCATCTCCGAGGACCAGCCGATGGGAGGGAAATCGGGGAAAAAGGCCGAGTGCCAGGCCGGTCTGAACGGGGAGTGCGCCTTGGCCACTTCTAGCCCGGTCACAGGCAAGGGCTCAGTGAATACCATTGACCTTGACTCTCTAATGACAGAGCAACATGCCACCTGGTACGTCCCTGGAAACAAGGCTCTGATAGAGGACCCCAGTAATGACAAGTGCCTGGGATTCTGGGATCGAGCACGGGGCCAGAGTGACAACAAAGAAGGTAAACTTCATTGACTCGCAGTGAGAGCTTGATGAATTGGTGTTTTTATGGACTGTTGAGTTTACTTTGATGGCTTAATGGTTGAATAATGAACAACCCAAGGTAGCTTAACCTCAGGCACAGGGACCCATTTACAACTAATCTGTCACCCAGAAGTGAGCTTTAATTAGCACACTTTAAAACACTCAGTCTTCAGCTGACAGAAAACAGGAAGCAAAATTATAATTAACCCACTGACAGGCAGCAGAGAAAGTTTGTTGGGCTCTGCAATTTGCAATACAAATTGCAATTTTATTATATATGTCATATCTATATACGTGTGTGTGTTAGTGAAATTAGTAGCACTAGCAGGAAAAAACACAGCAGTAATGATTAATAGTAGTATTCCTATTTCTGACATTATTAAACATTTTATATTATATTAAACAAGTACACAAGACATGCAAGTGACTACAATGTCTTCAATGTTAAACCCTACATTTTAGGAGTCTAACATCATGTAAACTGAAGGTTTTGTCTCTTAAATATTTATCTTGCACAGAGAGTACCTGTAATTAAGATTTTAATGAGAGTGGAGAGCATTCAGACCTTTTTTGTGTTTTAAATTTAAGTACAAATAAACTGGAATCAATTCTGTAATGCTGCGTTTAGAAAATATGTCTCCAGTGTTTAATGTGTTCCTGGGTAGCGTAAGTGTTTTTACCCCAGGCTTTCTTATCAAATTATTTACTGGAAACTTTACACGGCTGTTCAGATGTATTGTCGACGGTGTAAAATATCAGTCAAGAGCATCGTAGGTCACGCAGCTCCAGTTCCTTGAATTTCTCGTTGAATGCCACAGCAAAGACATGGGTGTTATTGCGTTATTTTGGAAAGAAACGTTGTCTAAGGAGGTTGGTGCAGCCAAGTTTGCCATTAATTTGACTACAGGCACGTTAGAGCTCGCAGCGGCGTTATTAACCCGTGAGGCCTGATAACAATGTGGTGTGAGAGTTAAACTCAGGCATCGGGCGCAAGGCCAAGATTCAGTGTGGTTTTAACTCTAAATTCTCCTTCCTGTCACTTCGGGCTTCTTGATTGGTCCTGTAATTGCTCGCCATCAGATATGTCATAATCAGACGTGTGGCATCATATTCATGAGGGGATGTGTTTGATTTTCTGGATAGTTGAGAGGAGGGTCGAAATCATTTTCTTTACAGGAATATCTCAAGCCCTTGTAACATAAAACTTCCAAAAGCTTTTGACACAGCCAGTTGCACGGTATTCCCTTCACGACAAACACACCAGAGACCACAAATCTGTTTTTTGCATTTATCTCTATGTCCATCTTTTGCACCGGGTATTGAGTTTTGGTTTATTTATTTTTAGAAATGCAGTAGCCTTTTCTCTGTGCACATTTGACTTTTTGCTGCAGTTTTGATCACTTTAGCTGTTTGTATTTTGTTATTTTAACAAATGCTTTTTATTTTATATTTATATGTGTGTATATATATATATACACACACACACACCTTTTTGTAAATTCTTTTAAATTCCATCATTACCAGCTAAATGAAGATATTTTATTGTTTAAAAACTGCAATAATTTCAGGAGCGTGATCTTGACCAAATCTAGAACAGATGTAAGTTGCAAAAAAGCATGCTATCAGAATGCAGTCCGATCAAAAAGTCCTAGCTATCTCCGACTCTGAGCTTTCTTTTGTTTTTTTCTCACTATTTTGCCTAATAAATGGAGAAGGTTGTCAGATGCTGTCGGATATTCTGACAGCTTTGTGGCTCTGAGAATAAACACTAAAGGCCAGAACAGACAGAAAACAAAGGAGAAGATGCAATGGTCTCCTGGGAAAACGACTCAAAACAGCACTCCAGAAACAGGCTGAGAACACAGGTATAGGGATGCGTTTTGTGAGGAAGGGACGTCAGTGATGTGAGGAGAAAAGAGGGCTTGATATCTGTGTGCAAAATATCAGCAAACAGTGTACACTCCAAACGCTGTGTAACTTGCAGGTCCTTTGCAAAAATAAGCTTCCATGTCTATGAACATTTTCCCTGTTTGTCAGAAAAGCTAGATATCTCAGTGGCTCTAAAAACACATATCCTAAAATAACCATCCATAGCTTTGAACGTTTTCCTCCTCAGTTGTTTTCATCTGTTGTAATTGTGCAACTCGTCATTTGCATACAGTACGGGCAGTTTATAATTAAATTCATTCAGCTAATATCTCCCGTTTGCATGATCGATAGCAATTTGAGCGTTACATGTGCAGATGCACACCTTTTTGTGGGAGTGTTTGTTTGCCGAGCAGAATTAATTAGTGTCTTCTCGTGTCCGTGTGATACACTGCATTTTTCCGTGAGGAATGTCAGGGTGGAAACGAGCAAAAAAAAATAATAATAACATGGTCTTGTCTTGGCATGTATTGAATTCCGCTTTAGCATTTTGTCAAGGGACAGGCCTGTATCGTCAGAGATGCATCACTTTGATTTGTGCATCATCTCTCCATGCTAAACATTAAGGAGCAGTTGACCTAAAAATATCAATTCTCTCACTGTTTACTCACCAGCCCTGTATGATTATTAGGTTACACTTTATTTTAAGGTGTCTGTGTTACAGTGTTAAGTAGTGAGTAATAATAATGAACTGCATGTACTTACTGTAGGGCTAGTGTTTTAGGTTAATGAAGCACAATTTATAGTAATAGTAACGTGTGTAACGACACTGTAAAATAAAGTGTTACCTATAGTATTATTATTATGTGAAGCAGCACAAAAGGAGACATTAGGAAGAATGTCCAAGCTGCCATTTTCCATAAAACCAAACATGTTTTACTTTTTTTAAATACCGCCAAGCTACGACATAAAAATGCTATAATCTATCACTGAAAATTCCCATCAAAACTCTCTATATTATATTTGATCACCCAGCTGTAATCTGCTAAATGCAACTTTTTAAGATATTATAAACATTAGCATCACGATTTTCTGTAAAGCTGCTCTGAAACTGAATTCTAATTAGGAATTTATTGAGGCAAAAGACATAGTTAATAGTGAGAATTGAACCCTAATCTAAAGTGTAACAGAAAATGTTAATAATATTTGAATAAAGGGTAAATATGGCATTTTTTCTAAGCCAGACTCTATTTTGGCCACTATACTGTGTTTTCGAAACGATATACAAAAACATTTCATTTCTAGTCCGTGTTTTTTAATTGAACGCAAGAATGTTGCAGGGGAAGATCTTTGTGTTAAACAGAAAGAAGTTTATTTGCATGGCCCTTTTCACAACTCAGCTGCTTTACAGAACATGCTTGTTTCAGTGTTACAGTTAAAATAAGTTTGAGTAAATAAGGACAGAATTGAATTTTTTGTTTAAAACCCCCCCCACAGTGCTTTAAACGCCCAGAACCGTTACGGATAGATCATCCCTCAAGCCCAGAGCCAAGATGCAAATTTTCCGTGTCACCTCATATGTTGTTGTAGTCATACGTGTCTCGAAGATCATTAATGTTTCTTCTTAGCCACCCCACCCACAGAAACATAAACCAACAAGTTTCTCCCCCCTCGTTTGTAAGTGAGCAGAGCCTGCCTGTGAACGGCATATGGAGCAGAAGGGTGTTGCTTTTCCATGCGTAGGCTTTAGTGCATGTGTTTCGCTGGCCAAGAGGAGCCGTCTAAGAGCCAGACAGAGCAGTCAGCCATCCAGACAGACTGGGCCCCACAGCTGGCCCTCGTTCCCAGTCCTTCCCCTCTTCCAGATTCAGGCCCGGCGCTCATGAAGGCGATCCCTGTCCGCGGGTGAGGGGGGGAATCGGCCCCGGGGCTCTGATGTGAAACTCCTTTAGTGCTCTGGGCCCTTGAAAACTGTGAAAAGCTCTTTCATATCCCTTGGCCGGGGTCCTGCGCTCTCTTTAGAATATTTTAGAATAATTTCATTCTAATTTGTCAATGGAAATTCAAACCATATAACAGCATATAAAAACAGGTTCTAGAGGGACTAGTTTATGTAAAAGAGCGTGCCGGTGCCAAGCTATTTCCACGCTCTGGTGTGGGGAGGAACCCACTGCGTCCCCTGCAGTTCTGCTGGCTGCTGTTGAGAGACTCGCAATATAAGCACTTAACAATGATATGGACACAATCCTGGCGTTTGAGTAATGAAGTCTGCACTGTCGGGATGATTCGCAAGAAGATGGGGTTTAAAGGAACAGTTCTGGTGAAAATTAACACCGGTTACATGCGCAAAAGAGAGTTTGAAGAGTATCCTGGCTGCTCTTTTCCATATGAAGTGTGAACAGGCGCTGGGAATAAAAAGTGGCCAAACGGGATATTGAAAAATTGTTTTTAAAAATTCAAATTATGAGGGAAGAACGAGACCCTAAACTTGGTTGAGGTAATTATCTGACTAAATTAATTATACAGCTACAAAAATAATGCATAGACAAACAAAAACCTCACATTGACTACAACATGATCAATTCATATTTTGTTGGTTCTCGCTTGTGTTCGTAATTTTTTTGTATGACAGTCTGGCCAAAAAGTGTCTCACGTTTTGTCATTTGAGTTATATAACAAATAAAACAATCGACTCCAAGCACAACTACGCAATATACTTACAAAGTCTTTATGAAAATCTGGTCACACTTTAGTTTAGGGTCCAATTCTCACTATTAACTAGTTGCTTATTATCATGCATATTTTCCGGGATATTGGCTGTTTATTAGTACTTATAAAGCACATATTAATGCCTCATTCTGCATGATCATATTCTACATCCCTTAATCCACCAATACCTATTAATAAACAGTAATTTGGAGTGTATTGAGGCAAAATTGTTGGTTAACAGTGAGAATTGGATTGGACTCAAATCTAAAGTGTGACTGAATTTTTTTAATAATATTTGAATAAAGGGTAAAGATGCAATTTTCTTTTTTTGCCACTAAACTGTATACTGTGTTTTAAAACAAAATTGCCTTGTTGAGAGAGAAAACAAGTCACATCAGTGTGTTTAAGTCACATTTTATTATTACATTCAGAAATTATTTGAAATACCAGAAAATGAAATGTTTTCAAACATTATAAACACTATCACCTTGTATTTTGGTTCCCTTCAATCCACAACAAATCCTTTAAGTTTAACAGAATTCAAAACACACAGGAATTAAAAATATATGGTTACTTTATTTTAAGGTGACGTAGTTACGCTTTACAACACGTACTTACAATAGTAATAACAGTAAATTATGCATAAGTAACTAAACCTAAACCAAACCTTAAGTACATGAATATTACTCAGTACTTGTTTGAGGAAGTACAATGTAACTATGTCATCTTAAAATAAAGTGTAACCCAATATAACCAAGCAAATTCATTCTAAGCCAATTTATTGGGAAATGTGCATTTCAGATAAACTTGTGCTCTCATTGGGCACAAATACAGATGTGCAGTTTTCACATGTTATGCTACGCTTGACATTAATTACATTAAATAAGTCACTTTCACAGACTTCTATAAAATGTGTATTTCAGAAATATAGTGTGCAAATCATTTTTATTTGGAAAAGACTGGGCAGGATATGAGAGTCAGTAAATGATGACAGAGTTTAAGCATATGTTTAATTCCAAACATCGGTGATGTGATTTTAATAAGTTTTTCTCTTGTATCTCCTCACAGGACATGGGTAGGAGCGCTCCTCTGATGCCTCTCCTTAGCGTATTACTGAGAAAAAAAGGTAAGACAATCAAATCTATCAGATATATCAATCACTCCGGGTTTCAGAAGTATTTTTTGATGACTTTTAACTCAGACCTACCATGAGCTCTTGAGGTTAAGTGATTTTTGCTCGTGTGATTTCATATTCATGAGCAAAAATTAGTGTGTTTACTAGCCAAATTCTCTGTGAAGAACTAAGAGAACGATCCACCAATCAGAGAACGCACTGTTACCATGGAAACAGAATTTGCTCCAAAAAAGCTCATCAGTCGCCGCCCACTCCCATGAAGCATTGCGGATGATGTAATCGAGTCCGCCTCCTCACACTCTAAAACGACTCGGAATATTTAGCATTAAACACAAAATATAATGATTTTTAAACATAATGATTATAATGTATTTACAAATGCATAATACATTTTTATAATAATGTTACTTAAGAGGTACTATTATAGTTTCAATGAATAATTTGAGTTCGTTTTATTGATATATTTTCTGTTTTAGTTGAAGTTTTATGTTTTTGTCATTTTTATTAGTTGTGTTTTTTAATATCTTCAGTTTTCATTTTATTTTGGTACATCAAGTTAAACTAATTGGTTATGAGACATATTTATTCTATTTTAAGTAAACAAAAATGTTTTAATTTATATATATATAAACAGTGTATATATATATATATATATTTCATCATAAAACTATACATGTATATCATTTTTTTGTCTTGTTTTTTTTTTTGGTAACTAATAACCCTGATATGATTATAAAATATTTCGTTTTTAAGTCCATAGTTTTATATTGTACCAATGTTTTCATCATTCCGCAGTGCATTATGGGATATGTTATTGCGTTCAATCAGAGTTTGTAATATTATGGTGGTTCATCTCAGATCTTGTTGGTTTGCTTCAAGGCTTAAACTCTTAATTTTATTTTTAAATGAGAAAATGAGTTCAGTGAGGCCGTGCCGTGATCTGTACCGACTCGCTTAATTTCCACGCAACGATCCGCAGACGTGGTGCCATCTGTCTCCCGCCGTCCCAGCGCCGGCTCCCGTTGATATTCCCGCGAGCCGTCGGCGGCGACTCCATGGCGACGGGATGATTGACATGTGTCGCGTCTCTCCACAGGTGCTGCTCGATCTCGCGGTGAGGGTGGGGGTGGGACCTGGAGGAAACCACCCGCGGTGTCCGGAAAACCTCGGGACGCGGGGATGGGGGTGGGATGAGGGGCCCCTGCTGTTCCTCTCACTTCCAGATGCGACTTAAACTCATCCAGAACAACTCCAACCACTTCGGGACCTCGCTGGCTGCTTTCCGTAACTGTAAGGATGATGATGGCTGGCTTGGTGTTTTCCAGCAGTAATTGGATACTTTTTTTCTTTTTTTTTTTACTAGCCCCAGAGAAGCCGCAAAGCTCTCCGGGTGTCCGTAGAGCAAGTCTTCGGGCCAACAAAACCTCTGTAGATTGACTGGAGAGAGGAGAGACAATGGGATACAGGAAATACACAAGCACACCAGACTGGAATCTTGGACAGCGAGGCTCAATTGCTTTTAGTGTATTTTTATCTTCTAAAGCCGTTTTTTTTTTAATTTGCTGGGATTACCTCATTTTTTTTTAAGACTTGCAAGTGAGGGGTTTAACTAGTTAGTACAAGAGCGTGCCGCTCTCTCTATAAATATTTATTATCCCTGTTTGTTCAACAAAGCTCCTTTATTGGTGAGCATCTTTTTCGGTTACGTTATGATTTGGAACTCCTCGGAATTCTCGGTAAAGACAGAATTCCGTCACACGAGTTCTAAAGCGTCCCGTTCTCCGAGGTCTCCAGCACAGTCTTCTCCGTGTGTCTGTGGTGGGTCAACCTTTTGACTTTAAAAGGCCAGTGGGGGTTCTGTCCTCTCCCTACTGTTTTTGGAAATTTGATATTCACCCTGAGAACATCCCTTTGTGACCTGCCTGGCCGGCATCGGAATGCCATTGTTTCAAGTCGAAACTCTCCTTTGCTTGGGTTTTCCCTCTTTACCAAGCCTCCATTGAGACCCCGAGCTTCCCTCTGCCTTTAAACCAACTGATGGTGAATATGTTTAGTCGGAATTGGCAGGCTATTCAAGCGAGGACAATGGTTGAAGACAAAAGACTTTCCTTTTAAGAAAATAGGTTTTCTTCTGGAGAGAAAAAGGTCTTTAACCAATTTTTTGGGTCTTCGACACCTCTCTGTTTCCTTGTTCTACCTCCTTTCTCCATTTTTTTTTCTTTCATTATTGTGATATACACGAAGCTTAAAGTGAAGTTATTTGTGCCCGCAGAGTTTTTTGTTGTTGTTGTAAATAACCTGTATATTATGAATCACTTATTAACAATAAATATGTTGTAAATTATGCCTTTTCCTCCGAATGTTCTGTCATCTCATTAAATATTTTCCTATGAATTGTGGCGTTCTTCCCGTGAGAGAAGCTAAATTAGCACGCTCTCTCTGTGGCGAGGGCTACCGCTTGAATTGTTTTAAAAAGCGCTTTCTGTATGATTAGATCCATTTTTGTTTGATTAGGGGGCACCGGGTTCGAGATATGCCTGAGAAATGCCTTCTTTATGTTTACCCTGAACTAATCTTAAACAGTGGGAAAATAGTTTCAACCGTGAGCGAGCGAGCGAGAGAGAGAGAGAAGTCAAACGAGGAGACTGTTTGTGAAATGCTCGGCTACAAATCTCCAGTGGTTTGGATGGGGTTGGAGACTGCTGAAGTCTCTGGGGTATTGATCGTGATTACTCCGGTATTCTTTACATAAATCATTGCTTATTGATAGTGGAACTCGTTCAAGGATGCGAAGTGAAATTTTGCGCATACAGTGCAATAGTTATCGTGTTTGCAAATGAACTAAGGGCCGTTTCCAAACCTCACGTTTCCTAGAAGAATGTATAATGTGTACGCACACAACATGTGATGATTATGTTATAGTTCACTGCTCCTCAACTGGTTTTGTTTCAGGACCCATGTTGAACAGAAACACAATATTGAAATGTAGTAGTGTTACCATGAACTGCACAGGCCCCAGACGAATATGCAAAATGATTAACATGACATGGAATAAACAACTTTGTAAATGCATAAACATCAGCAGAAATGTGAGCTACCAGCCGAATACTTGAATCAAACACCGGACGCTGTGTTGGCTGTATTGAGTAACATGACCAAAAAAATGTGTGTGTGTTTGTATATACAGTATATATGGATGGTCACACTTTAGTTTAGGGTCCAATTCTCACTATTAACTACCACTTTTGCCTCAATAAACTCCTAATTACTGCTTATTAATGTAGTTGTTAAGTTTAGGTATTAAGAGATGTAGAATATGATCATGCAGAATAAGGCATTAATATGTGCTAATAAATTGTAAAGTGTTACCATATTGCATGCATGACTTTAAACGATTAAAAGATCATTTAGATGGTGTCTTTTCTCGTTTACAAGTTGATAATACTCGTTTTATTAGCCTAACTATGCCTCATTATATAATTAGTTGCATTTTATTATCTGTAGTAGTAGTAGTTTTATTTTGAACATGTAGAAAACATAAAAGTAAGAATTATACAAACATGCTTTCACATATAAAAATAAAATTAAAATAATAGTTATATAAGGAACTGTGCTTCTCAGCACAAACTTCCAAAATTAATAAAGGTCATTCAAATTAGAAATTGCCATGTTCAAAAAGGAGTAGGAAGAAGTTCATAGCAAACTTTTCAAGTCCTACCCCTTTTCTCTATTGTTATCATTTAGTTAAATACAAAACAATTTGTTTTGTATCTGAGTTCAGCATTGCTGTTAATAATCAGACCTGCAACAGATTTTTTTGTTGCACTTTATTTTACAGTACATGTCCTTACAGTGTACTTACTCTAGAAAGTACTAAGCTAACTACCAGGGGTTTTAAGTACATAGTATGTACATGCGGAACAGGACTGTAAAATAAATTGCAACCAATTTGGTTTTACCCCACCAGTTGTAAGTTAGTCACTTCAAACTAGTTCAAACTAGAGATATGAGAAATGGCACATAAATGCAACAAAAACTCATGCATGAAACCAGATAAATGCTACGTTTCAGTTGCGATGTCACAGTGTTGTATCATCAGTCGTGTGTTTTGTGCCCTTTACACGTCTTTGATATTTGCGTCTCTGTTCCAGCGCAAGGAGTCAATACCACTGCGATTCTGATTCCCAAGTGTGACGCACCGTCTCAGAGACGGAATCTCTAACAGGAAACGCAGTCTGAAAAATGTCCTAGTGTAGTTAGGCCGAAGGTGCATTTTCTTTGGCTGGCGCCAGACATTCTTGCTCTTGTTTTTCCAATTTACTGGAGCTACAGTGAGACAGTTTTCCCATTTGGAGATGACTGCAAACCTCTGCTTTTACTACAAACTCGTTTGGTTTCAGCGTTGCATTGGTGGTTTGTCGATTTAAAGCACAGACAAGACAAGTTTATAAATGCTTAAATTAGATCTGCACATTTTAAGAGTCGGGTTCAATCGATCATCGAACTCTGCGTTTTAATTAATCCGCCCTCCTGATGTCATTACGTCTCACTTAAGCTTATTAAAAACTGATTTGATTTGTCCTGCATCCAACATTAAGCCGTTTGGCTCTTCCAGGCAAGATAGCGCTCCAGCTCTTCAAACCCCGCGACGCATGTTTGTTTAAGACGCCAATCGCTTTGCCGTTCCCCAGCGCGTGTGTTGGCCACATGGTTTAGTCCTCACATACATGTTAATATGCAACACAAGTGGCTCTAAAATTGCAGGCCTTTGAGAGCTTTGACAGTCTGTGCATTCATTCAGTCCCAAAGCAGGTTTTCCTATTCATCTCCCCTCACAGAGGAACACCATGGTGGGGCTGCTGGAGAACGGGAGAGAAAGTGGAGGAGGAGGAGGAGGAGGAGGGGTATCTAAGCCCAGCTTGGCTTCAAGAATGGGATTCAGCAATTGGTGTGCAAATGGCAGTGTCTCCCACAGTCCAGCGATCCCCAAGGAGCCCAACAGTGGAGGGCCACTGGCTTGGGTCTCTTGTCTGTCCTCTGAATTTTTCATAGGTCAGCCTTCACAATGCACACTTAAATAGCTGGGCAGAGCCGATGGAAATCAGCATAGAGAGAGAAAGAGGGGGAAAATCCACCCCCCACCCCTTGAACAATGGGAATAAACAAAGATTTTGCTATCTTTTTAAAGAGAGCTCATCCAAAAGCAAGCTGCTTGAAAAGAGAGAGAGACGTTTCTTCTTCAGGAGAGCATGAGGAAAGGGGGATGGAGAGGATCTCTTGTGCTTGGGAATGCTTCACAATCTTAGGTCCCCGTTAGGGTGGACGGCCGCGCACCCGGGTCGCCTGAAACTTCCTTTTGTTTGCGCTCTATGGGCCGAGGAACCCGGTGGCATTGGCTGCTTCAGGCTGCTTGGATTCACTTAACGCTTCTATTATCTCTAATGGTTTTGGATGGGTTGTAAAGACTTCCATGTGCCTTATCTGGCCGGGCGGTGGGAGGGGAGACCGCGAGACGTAATTGACTGATTGTTATATAGAGCCTTCATTGAGAAAGTAAAAGCGCTAAATGTCATTGAAGACATTTACCAACATTTGCATTTGCATTAAATATGTGCATGCGAAGTGTGCCGCTGATTTATTTGGCAGGTCGTAGATCATTCTGACCGGCGGCCCTCCGCTGGTTTTGCTTCAGGATCCTGGTTTTAAATTGGACATCAAGTCGTGACTCAATATGAGAACCAAATTATTTATGGTGAAATGTTTTCTTTGAAAAAAAAAAATGCACGCATGTCAATACCTGGAGTTCTCTAACCGTAAGCGTCCCCATTCATCAGCTCGGCTGGAAACACACTGCATGCAACTTCTGCACATTGTTTTAGTCAATCACCTAAGCCGTAAATGTCACGTGACTAATTACCTTGCATTTATTACGTCCTGACAGTGCTGATTGAATGATGGCACCACAAGACCTTCATTCAGCTGTGACGTCAATTTGACACTTTTAAGAGCCCCCCCCCCCAAAACAACCAGGAACTGGTGAAACATCTGATGCTTACATTTACATTTATGCATTCTGGCATATACTTTTATCCAGGTATGCATTGTACAAGTTGCTTAGCAGATGTTTTGATCCAAAGCACCTTGTATTGCATTGCATTGCAGTTCCTGAAAGCGGAGTCTATTGTTTGAACTACATTTATATATATTTGCAATTTTATTACAATATGTTGCTTGCAAAACATTTAGCCAGAATACACTCCTGTCACTTTGGATAAATGCAAATGCATAAATAAGTAATATAATGATTTACTTGCTGCGCAGTGTTCATCCTCGTTCTATGTAGTTTGGTTCGTGTTTTCTTTTGTCCTGCATATTTTTCTTCATCTAATTTGACTGGCTTCTACCAAGTTGCAGATGATTTCGACCTTTAACGATACAGAAATCGTTTAATTTTTTATGCATTCGGCAGATGCCTGTATATCGAAAGCTACTTACACTGAAGGTGTACTACTTTTTCTGCATTATGCGCGTTTTCGTGACCCTTTCCAAACAGACCTGCGAGGCATTTTTGGGTCGTGACCCACCAGTTGAGGACCGCTCATGATCCAGACCATATGGATATGGATTTGGTGGACCCCCTTCCCCCCACGAGCTTGACTTGTGGCTCTTGGTCGGTTGCCGT